GTCAAGGATGTAGTAGGTGGGTGTGGTGGTGGAATCAGGCGCAGGACGCAGAAGTATATTCCAAAGACTTTAGTGAAAATACTCACAGTACAAACACTAAATAGCCCGAAGGCGAAACTCCGCACGCAGGCGAAACAAATACGCGCGCACAAACAGGTGCGACGAAAACACTCCAAACTATGGAGGAACAGCTCAACCGAGCAAAATGCACAATACGTCTGGCAACAACCAAGACAGTGGAAACAATAACACACAACACTAGGCAAAACACAACGAGAACTTATAGGACACTAATTACACTAAACGAGAAACAGGTGTACAACAATCAGACAAAAGCAAACGAACACAGAAACATTCAACGGTGGCAGCTAGTATTCCGGAGACGACGAACGCCGAAGCCTGCCCGAGCAAGGAAGAGAGGCAGCCTCGGCCGAAACCGTGACAATTGCAGCTCTGCCACAAAATTGAACGAGACAATTACTTAAAGAAGACATTAAAGAATTAGTCTGTCTGCCACCCATAAAAAATCATAAATGGCTGAAAATGATTAGTATACATTGAAAAATGTATCAGTTTCACTTAAAGTCAAAATATTTGACAGCAATACCTAATAAAATTCAAGTCAGTTGGGAACAGGTGTTTGATGTCCCAATACCTTGGCTTCGGGACATCTAAAAAAACAATTGACAACAATCAGTTTGTTTTTTAAGCTATTATATAAAATACTTGCTACAAAAATGAGGCATTGAACAGTCAGCCTTGTGCAGACTCTGCCACGAGGTACTGTCCATCGGTGGCTCGCTTTTGGAGTCAGGTCCAGGAATGGTTGTTATGTCATAATATCAGGGTTCAGATGGACCTGCAAATTGTATTGTTCGGGGATCTGAAAAAACACAATCAGTCAATGGAAAATATCATTATACTTTGGGTAAAGTATTTATTTTTAGGGTTGAAATGTTACAAATAGGGAGGTTCAGGACCCTCGTAAGACTCCACAGTAAAATGGAGGGATGTATTCCAAAAGGAAATAGCAAAATGGCATTATACTGGGAAAGATGGGTTAATCTGTGGAAATCGGAGAGTTAGAGTTAAGATCAGAATGAATGGTGGATTGGCTGCTGTGGGGGAAAATCGAGCACTTGAAAAAATAGGAAATTAGGAATATATGTCTAATTATTTAACTACAGGTACCGTAGATGTGAGCGAAATAGCTGTAAGTAGCAGTAAAAGTATTGTTGTCCATTAGTTTACTCCAATTAGGGTAGGGGGAAAAAGTATAGAGAAATAAAAATAAAAATAAGGGGGAATAGAAATGATTCAAACAATTACATTGATAGAACCTACAATCTATAGTATCTACCTCAATTACCTTGTACCCCTGTACATTAACTCGGTACTGGTACCCTGTGTACAGTGCATTTGACTTTTTCCACATTTTGTTACATTAAAGCCTTATTCTAAAATTGATTACATAGTTTTTTTCCCCCTCATCAATCTACAAACAATACCCCATAATGACAAAGCAAAAACTGGTTTTTAGAAATGTTAGCAATTTTTTAAAGTATAAAACACTGAAATATTACATTTACATAAGTATTCAGACCTTTTACTCAGTACTTTGTTGAAGCACCTTTGGTAGCGATTACAGCCTTGAGTCTTCTTGGGTGTGACGCTACAAGCTTGGCACACCTGTATTTGGGGAGTTTCTCCCATTCCTCTCTGCAGATCCTCCCAAGCTCTGGTTGGAGGTTGTGCGTCACTGCACAGCTATTTTCAGGTCTCTCCAGACATGTTCGATCGGGTTCAAGTCCAGGATCTGGCTGGGCCACTCAAGGACATTCAGAGACTTGTCCCGAAGCCACTCCTGTGTTGTCTTGACTGTGTGCTTAGGGTCGTTGTCCTGTTGGAAGGTGAATCTTTGCCCCAGTCTAAGGTCCTGAGTGCTCTGAAGCAGGTTTTTATCAAGCATCTCTCTGTACTTTGCTCCGTTCATCTTTCCCTCGATCCTGACTAGTCTTCCAGTCCCTGCCGCTGAAAAACATCCCCACAGTATAATGCTGCCACCACCATGCTTCACCGTAGGGATGGTGCCAGTTTTCCTCCAGGTGTGACGCTTGGCATTCAGGCCAAAGAGTTCAATCTTGGTTTCTCATTGTCTGAAAGTCCTTTAGGTGCCTTTTAGCAACTCAAGCGGGCTGTCATGTGCCTTTTACTGAGAGTGGCTTCCGTCTGGCCACTCTACCATAAAGGCCTGATTGGTGGAGTGCTGCAGAGATGGTTTTCATTCTGGAAGGTTCTCCCATCTCCACAGAGGAACTCTGGAGCTCTGTCAGAGTGACAATCGGGTTCTTGGTCACCTCCCTGACCAATGTCCCATCTCCCCGATTGCTCAGTTTGGCCGGGCGGCCAGCTCTAGGAAGAGTCTTGGTGGTTCCAAACTTCTTCCATTTAAGAATGATGGAGGCCACTGTGTTCTTGGGGACCTTCGATGCTGCAGATATTTTTTGGTACCCTTCCTCAGATCTGTGCCTCGACACAATCCTGTCTCGGAACTCTACGGACAATTCCTTCGACCTCATGGCTTGGTTTTTGCTCTGACATTCTCTGTCAACTGTGGGACCTTATATAGACAGGTGTGTGCTTTTCGAAATCATGTCAAACCAATTGAATTTACCACAGGTGGACTCCAATCAAGTTGTAGGAACATCTCAAGGATGATCAATGGAAACAGGATGCATCTGAGCTCAATTTTGAGTCTCATAGCAAAGGGTCTGAATACTTATGTAAATAAGGTATTTATGTTTTTTATTTTTAACCTGTTTTTGATGAGGAACATTTTTTATTTAATCCATTTTAGAACAAGGCTGTAACATAACAAAATGTGGAAAAAGTCAAGGGGTCTTAATACTTTCCGAATGCACTGTATATATATTTATTCCTCCTGTTATTATTTTTCTATTATCAAAAAATATATATCTCTTTATTGTTGGGATTGGCCCGTAAGTAAGCATTTCACTATTAGTCTACCCCTGTTGTTTATGAACCATGTGACAAATAACATTTGATTTGATGTAGACTGTTATGAAAACTGATGATTCAAGTAGCCTACTCTTTCCTTCCCTAGAACGGTTCTTTGTGAGTGATGTCGTTGATGAAATGCCATTTTCCTGCCTTTTCCCTGGCTGACATGTGGTTCTTGTCATTCCATTTATCAGCCAATGCATTTCCAGCCTCCTGCTCTACTCCATACATTGCTGTGTCTGATACATAATGAACAGAGCATGCCGCCTCCATCCCTGTCCATAACCATTAAAAAGATAACATTCTCAGAATGTATTGGACTTACTGGTTGGAAACACTGTTTATTTCTCTGGGGTGTGTGGAGATACAGAAAACAGACTTTTTCCTCTCTCCTCAGCTTTCAGTTATTGCCATAGGTTAGAGGTGTGTGAATGTGTAGGCTATGTGAGAATGTCATTGTGAATGAATGTATGCAGAATAGAAGAAGGTAAAACATTTTATTTTTTATTTGATCATTGTGAATTTGAATTACCTGAAGCACTTGGTTTTGAATTGGTAATTTTAGTGCCCTGCATTTTTCTTGACGTGACCTGACCATGAAATTTCATTTTCAATTTTAAATGAATTGGAGGAATGATACAAAATGATATGCAGGTGAACAAGTGGACCACCATGGGACCTCTGGGTAGTGGAAAGTTTACCTTAGCATCCTATCCATCAAGAAGCAATGCTCGTCAAGAAGCAATGCAGAGCTGTGAGTCTCCATGGATTATAGTATCTAGTCAATGAATAATGCAGGGCTATTCAGACAGAGTCATGGACATAGATAAACTCTAAAGTAAGCCTGGATATGAACGGCCCCAGTTGACTAACGTTAGGGACACTAAAGCATACTGAAGACATTGAGATTGGCCCTGGAGAATAGTATCAGGCTGAGCTATACCTTTAGCTCCTTACCACAGATCCAGGATCAGCTCTCCTGATCCCCAATGTCAGATTAACCACAAGGAGGTCAGAGTCATTCCACAGTAGGAGGCCTAACAATAACACAATGACAAAGCAATAATACAAGCCTGTTATTACCCTGCTCCTCCGGACACTGAGAGCTCTCTTGTTGACCTTTGACCCCCTTAATGGTTCAACAGCAGTTGGGCAGTCTTTTCCCTGTCCCTAAGACTCCTCTGGTCGATACCCATCTTCCTGTGTGAGTGGTGTAAATTTGTGTGAGCGCTGTGTGTCATCTCATTTTGACTGTCAGTGAGGCTGTGTGTCTAAAGCATGCCTGCCATCATCACGCACGCACACACACAGCCCACTGCTTAAAGGGAGCCAAGCGCACAGATCAATTCCCTTCTTCCTCATCCTGATGTGTGTGTGTGTGTGTGTTTGTGCATGTGTAACACATGGGGATGTGTGAAACTTACTTCTCAGCCTGAAGTGTCCCCACTTGCGCCAGTGAAGCTTTTCACGTGGCATCGACAGTTAAGATGCTTCAGGAGGGCGGTCACGTGCGCTAGCAAGGCAGAAGTGTTGGTGGACCCTGGGATGGTTCACCCGGGGTATGAGTGTTTTAAAGCCCTTCTAGCTGTGTCCGTCCTTGAGCTTGAGGCCTACTACGTATATCAGAGCCGTGGTTGGTCCTTACAAACGAATCATCCACCTCCCTATCAGCCGTCCTACCCCCCCAACCGCTCAGAGGTGTAATGGCCTTTTATCGATTCCCTCCCTCCTCCCCCTTCCTCTCTCTTTCTCTCTTTCCTCTCAGTGTGCAGGCTAAGATAAACTTGTGTGTGAGGAGGCAAGCCTCTCATGCTGGGCTGGGACATGCTATATGGTTCGCTCCTCAAACCGAGTGTGTGGGTGATGATGGGTTTGTGTGTGGGGGGAATGAGGAGGGTGTTTGTGTATGGTATGATCAGTGTGTGTCTGTCTGTATGTTAGTAGGAGGTTGGATGCAGTGGATTGCTTAGGCTAATCAGACACGAGCCTGGGGACCAGAGTGTTTACCAACTGCTGGGCCAGAGCGTCATACCAGGCGCCATGAATGAGGCATGCTGCCCACCAGCCACTCAGCCGCAGGAGGGCCCAGGCGGCAGGGTCAGGCCCCAGGGAGGAGAGGGGGAACAGGGGGAGAGTCGAGGACGAGCCAGACTGATTCACATGCAACCCACATAACTCCCACTGTCACAGCAAATCTCACTTAATTTCACACCCCCAAGGCCACCAGATAGGCAAGGAGATTGAGCCCTCACGGAGGCAGAGCTGAATGCTAAGGGAGTCGAAACACACACTCTGCCTCAGACCCCGTCATTCACACTTCAGCCGTTCTTAAACACACTCAAACCTCTTCTGAAGACATAAGCACACTCTTACAGCTTTCTCAAACAGACTCACACACACAAACACACACTGATACTACTCTTGAATTCGTGCACACTACCTCTAGGGCAGGATTCCCCAACAGGCGGCCCGAATTTGGCCCACGTGTGGTTTTATTTTGCCCCCCCCCCCAAGTTTTATGAGCAAAAATAAATAAATAAAAATGTTTAATTTTTTTGCATTTTCATTGTTGGACACACAAGGAAATCAGCTCTAAGTGATTTTTATTTTGGAAATCTGTTCCCAAGTATTCCCACGCATAACAGAGAGATACATATGATCATATACAAATGCAAGCAAGGTTTGACATTTGAGTAAAATATTACAGTGGGGGGAAAAAGTATTTAGTCAGCCACCAATTGTGCAAGTTCTCCCACTTAAAAAGATGAGAGAGGCCTGTAATTTTCATCATAGGTACACGTCAACTATGACAGACAAATTGAGGGAAAAAAATCCAGAAAATCACATTGTAGGATTTTTTATGAATTTATTTGCAAATTATGGTGGAAAATAAGTATTTGGTCACCTACAAACAAGCAAGATTTCTGGCTCTCACAGACCTGTAACTTCTTCTTTAAGAGGCTCCTCTGTCCTCCACTCGTTACCTGTATTAATGGCACCTGTTTGAACTTGTTATCAGTATAAAAGACACCTGTCCACAACCTCAAACAGTCACACTCCAAACTCCACTATGGCCAAGACCAAAGAGCTGTCAAAGGACACCAGAAACAAAATTGTACACCTGCACTAGGCTGGGAAGACTGATTCTGCAATAGGTAAGCAGCTTGGTTTGAAGAAATCAACTGTGGGAGCAATTATTAGGAAATGGAAGACATACAAGACCACTGATAATCTCCCTAGATCTGGGGCTTCACGCAAGATCTCACCCTGTGGGGGTCAAAATGATCACAAGAACGGTGAGCAAAAATCCCAGAACCACACGGGGGGACCAAGTGAATGACCTGCAGAGAGCTGGGACCAAAGTAACAAAGCCTACCATCAGTAACACACTACGCCGCCAGGGACTCAAATCCTGCAGTACCAGACGTGTCCCCCTGCTTAAGCCAGTACATGTCCAGGCCCATCTGAAGTTTGCTAGAGTGCATTTGGATGATCCAGAAGAGGATTGGGAGAATGTCATATGGTCAGATGAAACCAAAATAGAACTTTTTGGTAAAAACTCAACTCGTCGTGTTTGGAGGACAAAGAATGCTGAGTTGCATCCAAAGAACACCATACCTACTGTGAAGCATGGGGGTGGAAACATCATGCTTTGGGGCTGTTTTTCTGCAAAGGGACCAGGACGACTGATCCGTGTAAAGGAAAGAATGAATGGGGCCATGTATCGTGAGATTTTGAGTGAAAACCTCCTTCCATCAGCAAGGGCATTGAAGATGAAACGTGGCTGGGTCTTTCAGCATGACAATGATCCCAAACACACCACCCGGGCAACGAAGGAGTGGCTTCGTAAGAAGCATTTCAAGGTCCTGGAGTGGCCTAGCCAGTCTCCAGATCTCAACCCCATAGAAAATCTTTGGAGGGAGTTGAAAGTCCGTGTTGCCCAGCGACAGCCCCAAAACATCACTGCTCTAGAGGAGATCTGCATGGAGGAATGGGCCAAAATACCAGCAACAGTGTGTGAAAACCTTGTGAAGACTTACAGAAAACGTTTGACCTGTGTCATTGCTAACAAAGGGTATATAACAAAGTATTGAGAAACTTTTGTTATTGACCAAATACTTATTTTCCACCATAATTTGCAAATATATTCATTAAAAATCCTACAATGTGATTTTCTGGATTTTTTTTTCTCATTTTGTCTGTCATAGTTGACGTGTACCTATGATGAAAATTACAGGCCTCTCTCATCTTTTTAAGTGGGAGAACTTGCACAATTGGTGGCTGACTAAATACTTTTTTCCCCCACTGTATATCTGTTTGGGATTCTTGCAGTGAAATTGCAGTCTTCAAATGATTTGTAATTATGTTCCGGCCCACCGACCATCTGCTCAGGAATCGGCCCGCGGCTGAATCTAGTTGATGATCTCTGCTCTATAGTAAGAGCCTGCACTGTAAAAATAGAAAGACTCAAAACACCATTATTGTGTAATGAAACAATGAAAAGTAGCATGCCTAACCTGAAATCTGGTGTTTGGAGGGTGTTTGAATGTAAACCAATGGTAAATGTTATGATAAACAGAAGGTGTTTTTAAAACAGAATAGAAGTATTCTGAAACACCCAAAGTGGTTGTTCAATCGGAATATTGGTGTTTTCAAGAGAGTGTTTTGGGGTTTCAGTGCATGTAAAAGGCAGCATCAAAACACAAAATAAAAATATATATGTTTCCAGACCATGTCTCTCATACAAGCAAATGGTTATGATATGCAAACAGTTTATAGCCTAAATATGAATTGATGATAACTCGGAACACCAAAATAGTATTTTCTAACTTTTCCGGTAGTGCTCCCAGTCCCTGGCAAGGTGTTGCTCAACACTTGAGTAGCCCTTTCCTGCAGTCATATGACTAGTGCCTTCATGGGTGGAGTGTTATACTTTTGTTTCATATTTTCAAAATTAATAAACAGTATTAAAAAAAAACCCGCAGAAAATTGGTTGTTTCTATGTCAAACGGTTTTGTTATATTTTGGTCTTCTGTGATGTATATAAAGTGTCATAATGGGATGCAAACTAAAAATGTTATACATTTCAACTCTATATCTGACATAGTACAGGTGTCTTCTTTTTTCTAAGCCCATAACCATGTGTGTGAGGTGTATACTTTGATTTCAAAGTAGATTTGTTTAAGACTGCCAAGAAACACTGTGTGACCCTGATTTAGCTCACTGCAGTAATTAAGTGGTGTTACAACACACCATGTAATGAATGTTTTAAAACATCTCAGGATGATGTTTCAATACTCCAGCAAAGTTAATGTTTCGTCTCCTTGACGTTGGTGGGAGCTCAGTTGCTTCTAGTTTGGTGTTACAAAGCACTTAATTTTAACAGTGTGGAGACAAGAGCCTTACCTATATAAATCACCATGGGGACATAATGTGCATGAGCCAACTGCACAGCATGCATGAAGTGGTTTTATTATGGTTATTTATTTGGGGCGTGACCCAGAATGAATCAGGACGTGAAACACCTCATGGGGATACACTGAATTAAGATAACTTGGCTGTGTTCTGAACTAAAGGCTAGAGCTGCCATTTTCAAGGAGCAGTACGCTAATCCGACGCTAATAAGAAATCCCACTACGCCCTTTGACGAACCATCAAACAGGCAAAGCGTCAATACAGGACAAAGATCTAATCCTACTACACTGGCTCTGACATTTGTCGGATGTGACAGGGCTTGCAAACTATCATGGATTACAAAGGGAAACCAAGCCGCAAGCTACCAGTGACGCGAGCCTGCCAAACAAGCTAAATACATTCTATGCTCGCTTCGAGGCTAGCAACACTGAACCATGCATGAGAGCACCAGCTATTCCAGATGGCTGTGTGATCACACTCTCCGTAGCGAATGTTAGAAAGACCTGTAAACAGGTTAACATTTATTTAGACGGATTACCATGACGCGTACTCAGAGCATGGCAAGTGCCTTCACTGACATTTTCAACCTCTCCCTGACCAAGTCTGTGTGCCCAAGAACACCAATGTAACCTGACTAAATGACTATCGCCCTGTAGCACTCGCATCTGTGGCCATGAAATGCTTTGAAAGGCTGGTCATGGCTCACATCAACACCGTCATCCCAGACACCCTGGACCCACTCCAACTCGCATACTGCCCCAACAGATCCACAGATGATGCAATCTCTATTGCACTCCACACTGCCCTTTCCCATCTGGACAAAAGGAACACCTACGTGAAAATTCTGTTCATTGACTACAGCGTTCAACACCATAGTGCCCTCCAAGCTCATCACTAAGCTAAGGACCCTGGGATTAAACACCTCCCTCTGCAACTGGATCCTGGACTTCCTGACAGGCCGCCCCCAGGTGGTGAGGGTAAGCAACAACACATCCGTCATGCTGACCCTCAGCACAGGGGCCCCTCAGGAGTGCGAGGTTAGTCCCCTCCTGTACTCCCTGTTCACCCACGACTGCGTGGCCGCGCACGACTCCAACAGCATCATTAAGTTTGCTGACGACATGGCGGTGGTAGGCCTGATCAGTGACGACGATAAGACAGCCTACAGGGAGGAGGTCAGAGACCTGGCAGTGTGGTGCTCGGACAACAACCTCTCCCTCAATGTCAGCAAGACAAAAAAGATGATTGTGGTTTTCCTCGGTGTCCACATCACTAAGGAATTATCATGGTCCACACACATCAACACAGTCATGAAGAGGGCACGACATCGCCTCTTCCCCCTTAGGAGGCCCAAAAAATGTGGCATGGGCCCTCAGAAGATTCTACAGCTGCACCATTGAGAGCATCTTGACTGGTTGCATCACTGCTTGGTATGGCAACTGCTTGGCATCCGACGACAAGGCGCTACAGAGGGTAGCGCGTACGGCCCAGAACATCACTGGGGCCGCGCTCCCTACCATCCAGGACCTCTATACTAGGCAGTGTCAGAGGAAGGCCCTAAAATCTCCAGCCACCCAAGTCATAGATTGTTCTCTCTGCTACCGCATTGCAAACGGTACCGATACACCAAGTCTGGAACCAACAGGACCCTGATCAGCTCCTACCCCCAAGCCATAAGACTGCTAAATACAATGAACTCCAAAAGTATTGGGACTTTGACAATTGTGTTGTTGTTTTGGCTCTGTACTCCAACACTTTGGATTTGAAATGATACAATGACTATGAGGTTAAATTGCAGACTGTCATCTTTAATTTGAGGGTATTTTCATCCATATCGGGTGAACCATTTAGTACATAGTCCCCCCCATTTTAGGGGACCAAAAGTATTGGGACAAATTCACTTATGTGTATTAAAGTAATCAAAAGATTAGTATGTGGTCCCATATTCCTAGCATGCAGTGAGAAATGATGAGTGAGAAAGTTACAGACACACAAATATCATACCCCCCAAAAAATGCTAACCTCCACTGTTTTTGTAATGGTAAGAGGTTAAAATGTCTTGGGGGTGTGATATTTGTGTGTCTGTAACTTTCTCACTCATCATTATTCACGTTTCATTCAGGATTATCCGTAATCATGGTAGCATCCACATTAATGTGGAAGTGTTTAGAAACATATTCTATTGTTATTTACAAGAAAAGTGACCACAAAATGAAATGATACATTATTTACCATTAATTGCTATTGGGCACAAAATAATCTGAAACACAACCAAAACAAATAGCAAATGCATCCAATAAGTTTGTAGTCACAAGCTTGATGTAATCATTGTGTGCTAGGAATATGGGACCAAATACTAACATTTTGACTACTTTAATAATACACATATAAGTGCATTTGTCCCAATACTATGGTCCCCTAAAATGGGGGGACAATGTAAAAGTGCTGTCATTTCTAAACGGTTCATCTGATATGTATGAAAATACCCCTCAAATTAAAGCTGACAGTCTGCACTTTAACCTCATAGTCATTGTATCGTTTCAAATCCAAAGTGCTGGAATACAGAGCCACAAAAACTGTGTCACTGTCCCAATACTTTTGGAGCTCACTATAGTTAGTTAAATAGTTAACCAATAGCTAACCGAACTATCTGCATTGACCCTTTTTGCACTAACTCTTTTGACTCATCACATATGCTACTGTTTATTATCTGTCCTGTTGCCTAGTCACTTTATCCCTACATATATGTACATATCTACCTCAATTACCTTGTACCCCTGTACATCGACTCGATACTGATACCCCGTGTATATAGCCAAGTTATTGTTACTCATTGTGTATTTATTCCTTGTGTTATAATTTTTCAATTTTTCAATTATTTCTCTTTTTTTTCTCTCTGCATTGTTGGGAAGGGCCTGTAAGTAAGCATTTCACTGTTATACTATACCTGTTGTTTACGAAGCATGTGACAAATAACCTTTGATTTGATTTGACAATATTGCTGTTACAATCCATTAAATTATACCTGATCTCAGATGAGCATTTGAGACTTAATTCATTATTGCAGTTATTATCTTCACAGTTGAAAGAGAATGAAAACATTATTAGGCGATATAGATGTAATGCAATGGAATAGTGCAACAGGATAGTCTAGTCAGGGTATAGAAAGCCTTCATGGCAAACAGTAAATCTGCTCTGATGTTGATGACTCAGCGTATACGTTGGAGCGTTCAATATGGGCATTGTTATATGATTAACTGCTTCTTCTTAATTAACTGCTTCTTCATTGACTCTGTACTGGTAACCCGTGTATATAGCAAAGTTATCGTTACTCATTGTGTATTTATTATTACTTTTATTATTACGTGTTTTACTTTTCTATTATTTCTCTATTTTCTTTCTCTCTGCGTTGTTGGGAAGGGCTCGTAAGTAAACATTTCACTCTTAGTCTACACCAGTTTTTTACGAAGCATGTGACAAATACAATTTGATTTGATTTAATTTGATCCTTCTCCGCTTTCCCTCCCTGAATCCATGAAGATGGGATCTGGATTATCGCTCAGAAGTTCAACTAACCTGTCAACAAACAGACAACCGCTTCAGTATTGCCCTTGTGGGCTGTTACTCTAATTGGTTTCCAATGGACTTAGAGAAACATATTATACTGTATCTAGGTTCATGGATGGGTTACATAGAGGGATCATGTAATAGTACTGATTCTATGATTATGTCATAGCACAAACAAACCCATTGTGGGGGATGTCTCATACTGTAGGTGAAAATCTTCCATAGCTGAAAACCATTGTTAATTTCAAAAGCTCCTGAATGGATGTTTTGACTGACAGTTCAAAGTATCGCCTTTGTCAAAAAATGTAACTATTGCTTTGAATTAACTGTCTTCCCTAGATTTTTATTTACTAGGGAGGGTGGTTCCTCCACCCATTTTTATCGCAGCCATTTCCCAGGTCCGGTTAAATTGATATTTTGACAGTAAATGAAACAGTGTGGATAACTCCTTGTTAGACTATCAGGCACTGTTGTGAGGTTCTAAGTTCTGGGACAAATCCAGACGGACTACAAGGAAAGCTTAAACTAGATTTATTACACCCAACAGGATGTCGCAGCTGCATAACACAACATACAAGTCACACAAGCACATATTTACAACTAGGCGGAGTCATCTCCTTGTATGTCTAAGATAGACAGTCATTCTCTGTTGTTGGGCATGAACTGAGTGTGTTCCACTTATTGGTATTGTCTTGGCCCGGCCTGAGCCCAGAACTTTCATGGTCGGGGAAGTGTGTGTGTGTGTGTGTGAGATCAGACTTCAGTTAGAGTGTTTTTAGGTGGGCCTCTCTGGCCCCCCTCCCAAAGGTTTCTTCTCTCTTCAACTGTTGTCCTCACCACGACCTCGATGTTGAGTCCAACATCTCTCCTTACCCTAGTTCCACAGAGTCTAGCCTAGCTTGTCAGGAACTGAGACTCGACTGTTGCCCTTTGCCTACTTTCTTTAGAAATATTAATAACCAGAAAAGCTAGAACATGTCTGGACAGAGACTTTCTGTACTTCCCCTTGTCACTGCAATAATACACACAAGCTCCAACACCCTAACCAATAAAAAGTTATTACTACTAATCAGGCTGATTATGCAGGTATCAATGGCTCATTATGCAATTAAAATATGCTCATGTCAGACTAGTTCTCATCAATGTGTTTGCACACCCGGCCCTGGCTGCTCATCTGACTCACATCAGCATAATATCGGAATCAAAGAGAAACAATACTTTTGAGTTATTTTATGGGGAGAGCTTTGGAGGCTAATAATATTTGATCTTACTAATCATCAGTTTGAATTCAGTGAGGTGAACCAATATATTTACTTCCCATTAAAGACCATTAGAGGTGAAATGATAGAGAGGGAAAATGACTGGATCCTGGAGTGAGGAATCAGCAGGGAGAGATAGAGAGACTGGGAAAGACAGATCTGAAATTCCGTTATCCACAGCAGAGCATTAAATAATGTTATATTTTTTGCGCAAAAGGAGTGGGTCAACGGAAGTAACAAAGTGACACAGCGTGTGTGTGTCTGTCTGTCTGTCTGTGTGTGTGTGTCTGTGTGGGTTCCTGCATGTGGGTGTGTGTCTGTGTGCGTGCTTGCATGTGTGTATGTGTGTGCGCCTATACATGATGGCAGCAAACACAGAGCCGGGGGGATTACGAGTAGATTAATTCATCTAATTATCTTCCTTCTGCTTCGTCTGGGTCACAGCGTCAAGATTACACTATCGTATCATCACTGTTGTCGTCATTTAAAGAAAGCAGTAATTTGCAGTATCTATGATTACAATGTTCATGATATATTGTATCATTAGAGACTGGCAATCTGGGGTGTTAATGAAACTTTAACTACTGTATAGGGATTCGACTGGATCGCTGGTGCTCTATTCACAGGGAAATGAGGATGTACAGCAGATGTGCAAACATTTATTGAACATATTGACTCATTTATTGAATTCTATGACAGTTGCAGGCTAATTAAGCAATAACGCCCGAGGAGGTGTGGTATATGGCCAATATACCATGCCTAAGGGCTGTTCTTAAGCACGACGCAACGCAGAGTGCCTGGACACAGCCCTTAGCCGTGGTATATTGGCCATATATCACAAACCCCCAAGGTGCCTTATTGCTATAATAAACTGGTTACCAACATAATTAGAGCAGTAAAAATAAATGTTTTGTCATACCTGTGGTATACAGTCTGATAGACCACGGCCGTCAGCCAATCAGCATTCAGGGCTCGAACCACCCAGTTTATAATTCCAATTAGATGACAATGTGAGCTTAGCTTATATTGCAATATGTACAGTAAACAACACATCTGCATGTCAGTGTGATTGCTCTCTTCAGTAGAACTTAACTCTGAACTCCTCTTCTCTTCTTCTGCTCAGGACACTGAGATTCTGAATACAGCTGTGCTCACCGGGAGGACGGTTGCCGTGCCAGTAAAGGTGGTCACCGTAGGAACAGATGGCACAGTTACGGATGTAACAGAGTCAGTAGAGTGTCGGTCGACCGATGAAGAGGTGGTCAAGGTGAGTGTACACTATACAGGCTGCAACCTTGAGAGGAAACCTTGAACACCTTTAGAGAAAACCTTGAGGAGATAGACTAGGTGGAACACATCCTTTTCAGCCCAACATAGGACTTGAGTTCAAGTACAGTACATACAGTATGACAATAATGCCTTTTTAGTCTCTCATCCTTTACAGGCACAAGGCCATATACAGATGTCGGATCTTAACTTGATCACTCTTTTGTCGCAGAGAATTTTCCCGATGCATCAATTCAAATGAGCGTCGTGAGTGGCTGAAAATGAGCAGTTCTCTTTCTCTCTATGCGGGGGCAGTCTAGTCATTAGGATCAGGGCTTGCTATCAAAATGATGTTCTCTCTTGCCAAATATACTGAACCAAAATATAAACGCAACATGTATAGTGTTGGTCCCATGTTTCATGAGCTGAAATAAAAGATCAGAGAAATGTTCCATACAGACAAAAAGCTTATTTCTTTCAAATTTTGTATACACATCCCAGTTAGTGAGCATTTCTCCTTTGCCAAGATAATCCATCCACCTGACAGGTGCGATATATCAAGAAGCTGACTAAACAGCATGGTCATTACACAGGTGCACCTTGTGCTGGGGACAATAAAAGGCCATCCTAAAATGTGCTGTTTTGTCACACAACACAATGCCATAGATGTCTCGAGTTTTGAGGGAGCGTGCAATTGGCATGTTGACTGCAGGAATGTCCAACAGAGCTGTTGCCAGATAATTTAATGTTAATTTCTCTATGAAAAGCCACCTCTAACATCGTTTTAGAGAATTTGGCAGTACGTCCAACTGGCATCACAACCGCAGACCAATTGTAACCATGCCAGCCCAGGACCTCCACATCCGGCTTCTTCACCTGCGAGTGAAGAGACCAGCCTCCCGGACAGCTGATGAAACTGAGGAGTATTTCTGTCTGAAATGAAGCCCTTTTGTGGGGAAAAACTCATTCTGATTAGCTGGGCCTGGCTCGCCAGTGGGTGGGCCAATGCCCTACCAGGCCAACACATGGCTGCACCCAGTCATTTAAAATCCATAGATTAGGGCCTAATGAATTGATTTAAATTGACTGATTTCCTTCTACGAACTGTAACCCAGTAAAATGTTTGAAATTGTTGCATGTTGCATTAAACATTTTGTTAGCTTTCTCTGGCCCACACTCCAGCACAGTAGGTGGCGGTAATTAACGTTGGATGACAACCGCCAAAAAAAAAACACAGAAGAAGGAGGCTGCTAGCTAGTTAGGGGTCACCGGTACACAGTGTCCTTTGCCCCCACCTGCCGAGCACTGCTTTCCAGCAGTTCTGTTAATGTTACGGCGAGGGAATTAGCTAGCTAGTGTAGCCAACCAAACTCTTGCGTGGCACTACCAGCGATTACACTCACCGTAACGTTGCAATAACTGTGGGAAAGCAGTGTACAGCAGGCGGGGGCAAGCGACACTGTGTGCCGGTGTCCTAGCTAGCTAGCAGCCTCAATGGCAGTGCATGTAGTAAGTGATGCGTAGTGGGCGTAGCATGTAGTGGGTGTAACCAGTGTGAAATGGCTAGCTAGTTAGAGGTGCGGATCACTCGCTCTGAGACCTTGAAGTAGTTGTTTCCCTTGCTCTGCAAGGGCTGTGGCTTTCGTGGAACGATAGGTAGCTAATGGTTCTTCAAGGGTGACTGTTGTTAATTTGTTCAGAGGGTCCCTCGTTCAAGCCCAGTTTGGGGGCGAGGAGAGAGGCGGAAGCAACACTGTTACATTAATGCTGTTGACCTGGATCACTCAGTTGGACTCTGCTCGGTTGCTGCGGAGAAGGAGGAGGTCAAAGGGGGGTGAGTGTAACTGGTGTGAAATGGCTAGCTAGTTAGTGGTGTGCGTTAGTAACATCCAGTCGGTGACATCACTTGCGTTGAGACCTTTAATAATTTGTTTTGCTTGCTCTGCAAGGGCCGTGGCTTTTGTGGAGCGATAGGTAACGATGCTTCGTGGGAGGCAGTTGTTGATGTGTTCAGAGGGTCCCTGGTTCAACCCCAGGTGGGGGTAAGGAGAGGGACGAAAGCAACACTGTTACATGAGCGCTGCATGTAGTAAACGCGGTCGGCAGAATTTCTAGGCAGCACGTCAAAAATGTAATCTCCCAATCCCATGTATCCTTAGCTGGGGAGGCAATCCCAAAACACCTTCCGGCGCAGCAAATTTTTTAAAGGATTCTGAATTAATGTAGCACATTTTCCAGAAGAATAAGGAATAACGTGAAATGTAAGTATAACATTTATTTATTCATCAAATTATGTTCAAATGTTCAACAAATTACTTTAATGTGAATTGTGAATTCAAATGTTGAGTAACTGGTGTTTATCAGCCCGTCGGATGCGATAGCTAGCTAGCAGGCACTCTCCTACTTATCGACTGTTTAAAGATTAAGAACTAAACTAACTAATCTTAGATTCAGCAATGTGTCAATTGTGAAGACCCGGACAGTTAAATCATTAATTGGTGAACTTGCTAGCCAGCTAAAGACATGTAGAAAATCTGTTTTTTTCATTTGTTTTCAGGGACTAAAGTGGGCACCTGATTGTGTTTCACTCCTTAGCATTGGCTTGGCAAGAGAAAATAGTCCTGCCCAACTCGTTTGAAGGTAAGACATCTGACGAAAAACATAGTAAATGCAGCCAGCTGTGTTCTGTTCAATCTTGCTAGCCAGCCAAGTTATTTGTGCATTCTGTTGATGAGTCTGTTTTGCTCGCTAGCTGCCTGCAGTGTCTGTTTACCTAGCTAACGTTAGCTAACTTTCTCTTGCCACTCTCCCTTCCCCTATTGTGTTGCACCATTGAGGTTGGTGTTACTAGTTAAAATTAGAGTCTAAGTTATTCTACTGTAAACAACTTGACCAAGCCTAATAATATAAAAACTGTTAACAAATTATTGCACATTAATAAAAGTAGTTGTGGCTTCAGCAACTTGAACCAGCACTGAAATTTGAGCAGTGAGGTTAATTTCTCCCCCCTTGTCTCTGCTTGTTCCAGGTTGAAGGACATCCCACCCTGACACCCTGCAGATGTAAATAACTTGTTGTGAACCTCCCAGCCACCAGGAGAATCACCATATCCCAGGATATTATTCTGGAGTGTGCAACATCACAATGTTAGATATAAATAGATTTGCCCATGTTATTGTTTATCATGCAGATTTGTCAGGACATTGTAATTTATGAAGCTCATTCTAAAATACAGACATTGCACTGTGTGCAAGTTTTCAGTTTAGACCACAATTAATTGAATAAGGTGTTAGTGAAGGGCTGGAACAAAAACTTGTAAACTTCTCTCCTGTGTATAAAACAGTGACTGTCATGACAAATTTTGCCCTCATGTACTGAACAATCTTATGAATGTTGGAGGTTAATCTCCTTGATGTCCCTCACTTGGGAATTACTTATTTTGCACAATGGACTGTGTTTTAAGGACTCATGCACAAATACAGGAAAATAAATAAAAATGTTAACATTTATTCAAAATTACAATTGTTGATGTCTCCACATGTTCTGGTTTTGAGGCTTGAGCATCCGGTGACTGCAGTTCATCTGTCTAATCCCCTGCAGGGAGAGAGAAAGGCATCGATAATATTACAATGCTGTATTAATTTCATTGAATATTTATTCCTGTTTGATATGCATTTACACAGTATAATTATATTGGACATGTTATCCTTTATCACATGCCAGTATTTGTTTTGTATCCAATGCATTTAGCTTGCATTAAAATGAAGTAGCCTAGAACTTCTAATCTATTTAGGTTGCATCATACCACCTTTCAATATGTGACCAACCGGCTCGGTTCGGTCTAATGTAGCAAAATTTGAAATTGTGTTTTTTTTCCCTTTAAAAGTACAGACTATAAAATGGTATATCATACACTACAGTTGAGGAACAATGGGAGAGTAATTCTGCTTTGAAAGTTGATAAACTTGTAACCCCACTTTTGAGAAAATGGCCCTTGAATGTTTTGTTACACCTACTGGAGAGCTCTTCTTTGTCTACATCATTTCAGCATCGTTCACACCCTCTTAAGCCTTAGCCCCACCCATCTCTTTAAGGATACATCTGAGGCCATGTGCTAAACAGAGTGAGTACGGTAGTGTACTAAACAACCAAAGATTTCAAGATTAAAGGCTGGTTTATACTACATCTATCAACATATCTGTAGACAGTTGTCGTAGTGACATCATGAACATTCTATTGTTGTCCGACATCAAACTTGTCGTTGTCGTTATGAAAAAGTATAAACACAAAAACGACAGGCTGCATGACATCAGCAACCTGGTGGACCAAAATAGCATAACTGGTGTATTTTAACAACAATAAACCCATCCATTTACAAATGAATTTAGTATATGTCTAGCAAACCAGGCAACTAAAAGCAACTTTCTAAACAATGTTTTAGTTTGTTTCTAGCTTGTTAGCTAGCTAGCTAACGTTACGTTAGCTGGCTAGCCAGTTTAAATAATGACCATTTCATATAGCTTACAACGTCTTAACTTGAGCTCATTTGTGTTCATTATTACAGGAGAATAAACTCACAACAAGATCATTATTTACAAGTTAATGACAAGCTAATTACAGAAAATAGCTTACAGTTGTGAGTGTGACTAAATAAAAGCAGGACATTCTACTGGAGAATTTTAGAACTTGGACGCTGTCTCGTTGGCCTAATGTTATATCCTAATTTGACTTTGGTGGAGGTTATGTTGTTCTTCACATTACCGTCTCTGGTAAGCACACACTATATCAAATGAAATCAAAGTTTATTTGTCACATGCACAGGATACAGAAGGTGTAAATGGTACAGTGAAATGGTTACTTGCATAGTGGAGTTTTTTGTTTAGAAATGTAACTAGCTAGCTAGCTAAACAATGAACCATAATCCCAATTTATAACGTTACTACCCTGCATGAATCTGAAGGTAGCTAAAGTTAACCAACTAGCTAGCTAGCTAACATTAGGCTATAACTAGCAATGCAAATGGCTCTGAGATACTAATAATATTACTACATAGATCATACACGTAACGTTAGCTAGCTAGCTAGCTAACTAACAGTACACTTTAACTTTCTGCCCAAAACCACATTTAGATTTTTTGTTTAAATGTTTACGTTCAAATGCCTCTCCTGTGAAATAGTGACACGTGACATACACCTAGTTTCCTGAAACTAGTCACATATTAGTTATCAACCAATATAAAACCATGTTATCTTGAACATCGGTGTCATTTAATAATGTGCACGGGTGTGATAGCTGTATGAATTAATCACAATGCAAGCCTACTCATTAGAAAAAAACAGTAGCTGTAATACAATATTAGCTTCACAGTGAAACACCACTATTCTGGCTATGAATCATTCTTAAACAGTCAGTGAAATAGCTTATAGAAATAAAATAGATTTTGCCTGTATGATATCATGCATACAAGCTTACCGGTAATGTCCACAACGATGGAGCAGCAGACCAAGCAATATGCGTAAGGAGGAGCCTATAACGTAGGTCGGTGTCAACTTCATTCATTAACAGGTACTGAGGAGATCAATTCTGTTACTTGCTTACTTATTATTCGTGTCAAATATTTCCATTTTGGGATATTTGTTTACTGAAATAGTTGCTCACGCTGCTACAGGGGCTACAATGTGGCTACAAACGTCTTCCGCTTGGTGGAATGTGAATGCGTTATCACGTAATACTGCCTTCAAATCCCGTCCCAAACGGCAGTAACCTACTGGAAAAGTGCTACCTACTAGGGTAGTTGCCTTTTGGAGGCAGGTAGGCAGCAGCCTACCTGCCTACCTGTTACATAATAACAGGATGCTACACCAACATTAGTTTCCATTCATACAAAGTGTCAAAACAATAGCCCAGCACTGGGCGCGAACTCATGATGCTCATAGCTGAAGTGTGCTGCTCAGACCACTGCCCTACAGCAGCTCACAAAGCTTTAACAAGCCATGAGAATACTTGATTTATGAGGTTGGTTGGTTTGCAGAGCCTTCCCCACACCATAGCCCCCTAGGTACGGTACTGCATTGTATAGTCTACAAACACCGCTTCCAGCTGTCCCCTGGCGGCAATTATACATTTTCAATATTTATTCAAATCCTCCTGCTGCAGGATTATTTTCCTCCTGCGATGAAATGGGTCATATTAAGATCTGACATCTGTAGCGTGGCCTTGATGAGTGAAAGCTGTGCCCTACAGTACAATACAGAATAAACAACACATTTGGTTGTGTCTACCAGACTTGGGTTCAAATACTATTTGAAATCATTTCAAATAGTATATCTGTGCTTGATTGAGCTTGCCTGTTACAATAAACCCAATGGAAAAAGTGCAACCTGGCCCACCTGTCCCTCCCGGCAGGCTCAAGCAAACGTTCAAAGTATTTGAAAGTGTAAATGTACGTATTGTGGCATACATCAGGTCAGCCACCAGGGGGAGACTCGTCGAGGCCTGGTAACAGATGGAGTATACATCATGAGGCGGTGTTTCCATCTACTGGACGTGCCAGGTCTCGACGGGCTCCCCGGACAGGACTAATTGGGGCTGATTGGGAGCTGGTGAGTAATTAAGGGCGGATTGCTCACCAGCTGTGCAAGGCCCATAAAGCTGCCAGAAGGGCAGCACATGGGAGAGGACTGGGGGAAGTACGGTAACTTCCGTGTAGTTGGAGATGGTATCCTGGAGAGGGTCTCATGGGGGAGACCTAACATTTTCTTTTGATTATTTTATTAATAAACACCCTGAAACCGAGATACTCATACTCTGTCCGTGTCTGATCTGTGTAAACGTCTTGACCCAACCCCTTGATCTGCCACAAGTGGTGGAGAATGCGGGCATCTGGATAACGTGGTCAGATCAGGGTTGACGTTTACACAGCATCAGCATGGACGAGTTGATAGCTCAGTTCGTCCGGGCCCAACAAGCACAACAGGCGGTTCAGGAACGAACGCTGGAGGAACAGCGACTACAAAACGTCTGCCTCGTGGAGGAAGTCAGGAAGCTGCAAGGAGGAGCATCTCCTGAATCCCATCACAACCAGTTTTTAATCAAGCTAACGGAAGACGATGACATTGAAACATACCTCTGTACGTTTGAACGGACAGCGCTACGGGAAGGATGGCCAAGGCCGAAGTGGGCAAGTCTGCTGGCCCCGTTCCTCTCTGGGAATGCCCAAAAGGCGAACAGGTGGCTAACTACGACAGACTCAAACGGGAGATATTCAGCCGCTACGGGTACAGCCTGGCCCTTCGGGCTCAACGGTTCCATGACTGGAGGTTCGTACCCGACGCATCCCCCCGAGCCCAGATGAGCGACCTTCTGCGCGTCACCAGGGCATGGCTCCTAACCGACGTATCCACCCTCTCCCTCCTCAATAAAGTGGTCCTGGATCGCTTCGTACGGGCGCTACCCCACGGCATGAAGAGGGCAGCGAGCCTATAAACGCCCCAGACCTTGGAGGGCCTCCTGGAAGCAGTGGAGAAGCATCAGAACACTCAGGCCCTACTGAGGGGGAGCCGGGACGAGTCGGCGACCTGTGCGAGGGGATGGAAGGACAACCACACCGTGGTGTACCCCTAATCAGTCGGCAGGGCCAAGGGACCGCAAACTCGTGGAGAGACGGCTGGGGAAGGGCCGACCCGCCACCGACGACCCCAGGTAGATGGAGACCAACGGAGGTGTTTTGAGTGTGGCGCCCAGGGGCACATTGCCTGGAATTGCCCTGCTCGAGAGGAGTCGATGCCATCAGCTAGCACCGGAGGCCAGGTGGGTCACGCCGTGAACTATGTCACCTCCTGTTGGGCGCACCATGAATCAACTGCACCCATGGTCACGGTGAAGGTTGACGGACATGACACGGAAGCGCTATTAGACTCCGGAAACATGGTTACGCTTGTAACCACGAGCCTGCTGAACCAGGAGACTGAACAGGGTAGGGAGATGTCCATTTCCTGTGTTCACGGTGACACAAAGCGGTATCCCACCGTATGGACCAACATCATGACACCACAAGGGAGCTGCCAGATGATGGTGGGTGCAGTACCAGAGCTGCCAGTACCTATCCTAGTGGGACAGGATTGTCCACTGTTCGCGGCCCTATGGGGGCACGAGTTGAAAAAAAAGATACGATCCGGCCGAAGCGGGGGGGGCGCCACCGGTTAACCAACCTGACTCTACGGGTCCGGAGTCGGAGTCAGAGTCGGAGTCGGAGGGGGAGCCGGAACCCGAACCCCCTGGGGAACCACTAGAGGAGGAGCCCAGCCTTCCCCTTCTCAATTTCGAGGGCCCAGTCAAGACCCCCGTTGGGGGCCAACTGAGGGGCCAATTCGGGACGGCCCAGTGGGAGGATCCGAATTTGAAAGCTGTCGCAGACCAAGTGATGGCGGTGGATGGACAGCTACTTCTGGGGGTTAGTGACTGGCGATTTCCAAATTAAGGATAACCTTTTGTATCAGGTGTCGCGCCAACAGGGGGAACTTCGAGAGGTATTGTTGCTGCCCCGACGGTACGTAGAAACCGTTCTTCAGCTGGCCCACACCCACTAGTTGGGGGCGCACCTGGGAATGGAGAAGACCCGGGAACGGATCACCGCCTGGTTCCACTGGCCCGGGATGAGGAGGGCCATGGAAGACTACTGTCGCAGCTGCCCGGAGTGTCAACTCACTGCCCCGAAAGCATCTGGTCCCCCTACCGATCATCGGGGTGCCCTTTGAATGCATTGCGATGGACATAGTGGGACCCCTGGTAAAGACTGCACGAGGACACAGGTACAGCTTGGTAATAGTAGACTATGCCACCCGGTATCCTGAGGCCATTCTCCTACGAGCTGTTCCACCTCTTTAGCCGGATGGGCATCCCGAAAGAGATCCTGACAGACCAAAATACAGAGTTTATGTCCCGCCTCATGAAAGAGTTGTGTGCCCTCATGCAGATCAAGCAGATCCGGACCTTTTCACCCGCAGACGGATGGGCTCGTCGAGCGCTTTAACAAAACGCTCAAACAGATGCTGCGGAAGGTCATCGAGCAGGACGGGAAGAACTGGGACCAGCTGCTACCCCACCTGATGTTCTCAATCCGAGAAGTACCCAAATCCTCCAATGGGTTTTCCCCGTTTGAACTCCTCTATGGGAGGAGGCCACGTGGCATACTGGACCTCGCCATGGAGGTGTGGGAAGCCCAACCGACCCCCTTATGCAGCGTGGTAGAGCACGTGGAGACGATGCGGGAGCGGATGACAGCCATATGGCCAGTCGTGAGGGAACATATGGAGAAGGCCCAACGCGCCCAAGCCCAGGTCTACAATCGGGGAGCCCAGTCCTGAGAATTCCAGGTGGGAGACAGGGTGTTGATCCCCACGACCGAAAGTATGTTCCTGGCAACATGGCACGGACCATACGAGGTGGTCGTTGAACCTGTTGAAGAAGTGGCACGAGAGGACAGCCTTGGCCATGTTATGGTCGGGATCCAGGACGCCAACGGTACCAGTGGTGGTCCCGAGCAGTGAGGACCTCGACCCGGCCCAGAAGCAAGAGCTCCGGGAGCTTGTCGATTGGAACACGGTGGTATTCTCAGAGAAGCCGGGCCGCACGACCCTCATTGAACACCACATCCGTACCCGGCCCGGGGAAACGGTAAGGAAGAGGCCGTATCGACTTAAGGAGGGCCGACGGAAGGCCGTGAAGTGGAGGCTATGCTGAGGCTATGCTGAGGATGGGGGTCGTTGAAGAGTCCCACAGTGCATGGTGCAGCCCCATCGTGTTGGTGCCCACGTCGGACGGTAGCCTCCGCTTCTGTAATGATTTCCGGGGTGTGAACGACATAAGCATATTCGACGCCTACCCCATGCCGAGGATGGACGAGCTAATCGACCGATTGGAAAAGGCCTGGTACATCAGCACCCTTGACCTGAACAAAGGATATTGGCAGGTACCATTAGCAGCCTCCTCCCGGGAGAAGACGGTGTTCTCGACACCAGACGGTCTGTACCAGTACCAGGTGCCCCGCCCACATTCCAGCGACTGATGAACAGAGTGCTTCGACTTTACCAGCAGTACGCAGCGGCCTATCTGAATGATATCATCATCCACAGCCAAGGTTGGGAGGAGCACCTGACGCGCCTCCAGGCGGTGCTGGACGTGCTCAGACAAGCCGGGTTGACCGTAAACCCCAAGAAATGCAAGCTAGGGTTCGAGGAGGTGGAGTACCTGGGGTATTTGATCGGACAGGGGAATGTCAAGCCCCAGGAGAGGAAGGTTCACGCGGTACGTGACTGGCCCGTTCCACGCACCAAGACACAGGTCAAGTCCTTCCTGGGACTGGCAGGATACTATAGCCGGTTTATCCCCAACTTTGCGGCTATAGCTTCCCCCCTTACCGATCTAACCAGGGCCCGCCTCCCAAAAACAGTGAAATGGACGGACGAGACAGACGCGGCGTTCAGCCGTCTGAAGGAAGCGCTGTGCTCCCATCCGATTCTCTTAAAGCCCGATTTCCAGGTGCCGATGGTGGTCCAGACGGATGCATGTGATACGGGACTAGGGGCCGTTCTGTCCCAGAGACACGATGGGGAGGAGCACCCCATCATGTACATCAGCCGAAAGCTGATACCGAGAGAAAAATAACCCCTCAATTGTTGAGAAAGAGTGTCTGGCAGTGAAGTGGGCACTAGACAATCTCAAGTATTACCTGTTAGGTACCCACTTCACCCTGGTCACGGACCATGCTCCCCTGGGGGGGGGGGGGGGGGGGGGGCTGACCTGTTTGGAGAGCTCCTTGGTCTTCATGATGCCGCTTGCTTGGTGGTGCCCCTTGCTTAGTGGTGTTGCAGACACTGGGGCCTTTCAGAACAGGTGTATACAGTGGGGAAAAAAAGTATTTAGTCAGCCACCAATTGTGCAAGTTCTCCCACTTAAAAAGATGAGAGAGGCCTGTAATTTTCATCATAGGTACACGTCAACTATGACAGACAAAATGAGAAAAAAAAATCCAGGAAATCACATTGTAGGATTTTTAATGAATTTATTTGCAAATTATGGTGGAAAATAAGTATTTGGTCACCTACAAACAAGCAAGATTTCTGGCTCTCACAGACCTGTAACTTCTTCTTTAAGAGGCTCCTCTGTCCTCCACTCGTTACCTGTATTAATGGCACCTGTTTGAAATTGTTATCAGTATAAAAGACACCTGTCCACAACCTCAAACAGTCACACTCCAAACTCCACTATGGCCAAGACCAAAGAGCTGTCAAAGGACACCAGAAACAGAATTGTAGACCTGCATCAGGCTGGGAAGACTGAATCTGCAATAGGTAAGCAGCTTGGTTTGAATAAATCAACTGTGGGAGCAATTATTAGGAAATGGAAGACATACAAGACCACTGATAATCTCCCTCGATCTGGGGCTCCACGCAAGATCTCACCCCTTGGGGTCAAAATGATCACAAGAACGGTGAGCAAAAATCCCAGAACCACACGGGGGGACCTAGTGAATGACCGGCAGAGAGCTGGGACCAAAGTAACAAAGCCTACCATCAGTAACACACTACGCCGCCAGGGACTCAAATCCTGTAGTGGGAGACGTGTCCCCCTGCTTAAGCCAGTACATGTCCAGGCCCGTCTGAAGTTTGCTAGAGTGCATTTGGATGATCCAGAAGAGGATTGGGAGAATGTCATATGGTCAGATGAAACCAAAATATAACTTTTTGGTTTAAAAAACTCAACTCGTCGTGTTTGGAGGACAAAGAATGCTGAGTTCCATCCAAAGAACACCATACCTACTGTGAAGCATGGGGGTGGAAACATCATGCTTTGGGGCTGTTTTTCTGCAAAGGGACCAGGACGACTGATCCGTGTAAAGGAAAGAATGAATGGGGCCATGTTTTGTGAGATTTTGAGTGAAAACCTCCTTCCATCAGCAAGGGCATTGAAGATGAAACGTGGCTGGGTCTTTCAGCATGACAATGATCCCAAATACACCGCCCGGGCAATGAAGGAGTGGCTTCGTAAGAAGCATTTCAAGGTCCTGGAGTGGCCTAGCCAGTCTCCAGATCTCAACCCCATAGAAAATCTTTGGAGGGAGTTGAAAGTCCGTGTTGCCCAGCGACAGCCCCAAAACATCACTGCTCTAGAGGAGATCTGCATGAAAGAATGGGCCAAAATACCAGCAACAGTGTGTGAAAACCTTGTGAAGAGTTACATAAAACGTAGAGTTACATAAAACGTTTGACCTGTGTCATTGCCAACAAAGGGTATATAACAAAGTATTGAGAAACTTTTGTTATTGACCAAATACTTATTTTCCACCATAATTTGCAAATAAATTCATTAAAAATCCTACAATGTGATTTTCTGGATTTTTTTTCTCTCATTTTGTCTGTCATAGTTGACGTGTACCTATGATGAAAATTACAGGCCTCTCTCATCTTTTTAAGTGGGAGAACTTGCACAATTGGTGGCTGACTAAATACTTTTTTCCCCCACTGTATATACTGAGATCATGTGACAGATCATGTGACATTTAGATTGCACACAGGTGGACTTTATTTAACTAATTATATGACTTCTGAAGGTAATTGGTTGCATCAGATCTTATTTAGGGGCTTCATAGCAAAGGGTGTGAATACCTATGAAGTCACCACTTTTCCGTTATTTATTTTCTATAATTTTTCTACAAACATTTCACTTCACCAATTTGGACTATTTTGTGTATGTCCATTACATGAAATCTAAATAAAAATCCATTTAAATTACAGGTTGTAATGCAACAAAATAGGAAAAACGCCAAGGAGGATGAATACTTTTGCAAGGCACTGTATTAAGCATTTCTCATATTAGCTCCCCAGCAGCGTTGATTGGGGAGTGTCTGTGCCCTCTCTCCAGTCTATTTTTGTATGCCTTCTGGCTTTCTTTTCTGACGAGCATTGTGAAAGCAGCCGTGGTCAACCGTAATTGCACCCAGTGTCGTTACTGAGGACTGTGACTTCCCTATTGGCTGTCTCACAGCTCAGAAAGGTCAAAGGTCATGCCAGTGTGTTAAGGGGCCCTTTTCCTCTGATTGGAAAAAGGATCTGGTGAGGTAAGGAGGAGGATTACTTAAGATACTGTTTGAAGGGTTTCAGATGTTTTCGGAAGATGGGCAGGGACTCTGCTGTCCTAGCTTCAGGGGGAAGCTGGTTCCACCATTGGGGTGCCAGGACAGAGAATAACTTGGATTGGGCTGAGCAGGAGCTGCCCTCCCATAGTGGTGGGAGGGCCAAGTGACATGTGGTGGCAGAACGGAGTGCTCAGGTTGGGGTGTAGGGTTTGAGCATAGCCTGAAGGTAGGGAGGGGCAGAACCTCTTGCTGTTCCGTAGGTAAGCACCATGGTCTTGTAGTGGATACGAGCTTCGACTGGAAGCCAGTGGAATGTGCGGAGGAGCGGGGTGACATGAGAGAACTTGGGAAGGTTGAAAACCAGGCGGGCTGTCGTGTTCTGGATAGGTTGCAGGGATTGATGGCGCAAACGGGGAGCCCAGCCAACAACGAGTTGCAGTAGTCGAGAAGGGAGAGGACGAGTGTCTGGATTAGGATCTGCGCCGCTTCCTGTGTGAGGTAGAGTCGTACTCTATAGATGTTGTAGAGCATGAACGACAGGGTGTTGTCCAGGGTCACGCCAAGGTTCTTTGCACTCTGGGAGGGCGACACTGTGGAGTTGTCAACCATGATGGAGAGGTCTTTGAGCGGGCAGGCCTTCCCCGGGAGGAAGAGCAGTTCCGTCTTGTCGAGGTTGAGCTTGAGGTTGTGGTCTGACATCCAAGTTGAAATATCTGCCAGGCACGCAGAGATGCGTTTCGCCACTTGGGTGTCAGAAGGAGGGAAGGAGAAAAGTAGTTGAGTGTCATCCGCATAGCAATGATAGGAGAGACCATGTGAGGATATGACGGAGCCAAGTGACTTGGTGTATAGAGAGAAGAGGGCCTAGAACCGAGCCCTGGGGGACACCAGTAGTGAGAATACGTGGTGTAGACACAGATCCTCTCCACGTCACCTGTTAGGAGTGGCCTGCCAGATAGGATGCAATCAAAGAGTGTGCAGAGCCTGAGACGCCCAGCCCTGAGAGGGTGGAGAGGAGGATCTGATGGTTCACAATGTCGAAGGCAGCGGATAGATCTAGGAGGATCAGAACAGAGGAGAGAGAGTCAGCTTTGGCAGTGCGGAGAGCCTCCGTGACACAGAGAAGAGCAGTCTCCGTTGAATGACCCATCTTGAAGCCTGACTGGTTAGGGTCAAGAAGATCGTTCTAAGAGAGATAACGAGAAAGTTGATCAGAGAGAGGGGATACAGGTCTATAGGTTTTGATGTCAGATGAGTAGAGTGTTGGTTTCTTGAGGAGGGGAGCAACCCAGGCCATTTTGAAGTCAGGGGGATGCTGCCAGTGGTCAGGGATGAGTTGATGAGGGAAGTGAGGAATGGGAGAAGGTCTCCAGAGATGGTCTGGAGAAGGAAGGAGGGGATGGGGTTGAGCGGGCAGGTTGTCGGGCGGCCAGACCTCGCTAGTCGCAGGATGTCATCTGGAGCGAGAGGGGAGAAAGAGGTCAAGGCATAAGATAGTTCTGTGTGAGTGAGACCAGTGGACTCAATAGGCTGAGTGAATGAGTAGCGGATGTTGTCAACCTTTTCCTCAATAATAAACTAGTGAGTCATCCTTACCAACCAGTTGAGTAACCTTCTATGGTAATTTTCACAAGAGCAGCCTGAGACATTTTGTTATAAACTGTAAAGCATTGGAAAAGACATATTCTCTGTCGGAGACGGATCTTCACCATAGACTTGGTTCTTCACTAGCTTACTAAAACACAACGTATAGTACATGCATATGCACATCTTCTCTCCAAGCACGTGTTGGTAATTTAATTATTAACAATTATAACAAAGCATTATGTTAATTGTATCTATTCTCTTCTAGCCAAAGAATACTGGAAAATAAATCATTTTCTTCACATATCCATGTCAACAATTACAGAGAAAATCAATGTGATGACAATGTCTACATTTGTTACTTGATGTGGAACATTCTGTGTCAAAGTCTGGAGGGACATATACAGTACCAGTCAAAAGTTTGGACACACCTACTCATTCAAGGGTTTTTCTTTATTTTTACTATTTTCTATATTGTAGAATAATAATGAAGACATAAAAACTATGAAATAACACATATGGAATCATTCAGTAACCAAAACAAAACAAATCAAAACGTATTTTATATTTGAGATTCTTCAAAGTAGCCACCCTTTGCCTTGATGACCGCTTTGAACGCTCTTGGCATTCTCTCAATCAGCTTCATGAGGAATGCTTTTCCAACAGTCTTGAAGGAGTTCCCACATATGCTGAGCACTTGTTGGCTGATTTTCCTTCACTCTGTGGTCCAACTCATACCAAACCATCTCAGTTGATTTGAGGGCGGGTGACTGTGGAGGCCAGGTCATCTGATGCAGCATTCCATCACTCTCCTTCTCAATAAAATAGCCCTTACACAGCCTGGAGGTGTGTTATGGGTCATTGTCCTGTGGAAAAACAAATGATAGTCCCACAAAGCACAAACCAGATGGGATGGTGTGTCGCTGCAAAATGGTGTGGTAGCCTTGAATTCTAAGTAAACCACTGACAGTGTCACCAGCAAAGCACACCACACCATCACACCTCCTCCTCCATGCTTCACGGTGGGAACCACGCATGCGGAGACATCTCACAAAGACACGGCGGTTGGAACCAGAAATTCCACCGGTCTAATGTCCATTGCTCGTGTTTCTTGGCCCAAGGAAGTCTCTTATTATTATTGGTGTCCTTTAGTAGTGGTTTCTTTGCAGCAATTCAACCATGAAGGCCTGATTCACACAGTGTCCTCTGAACAGTTGATGTTGAGATGTGTCTGTTACTTGAACTCTGTGAAGGTTTTATTTGGGCTGCAATCTGAGGTGCAGTTAACTCTAATTAACTTATCCACAAATCAAAATATATTTTATATTTGAGAATCTTCAAATAGCCACCCATTGCCTTGATGACAGCTTTGCACACTCTTGGCATTCTCTCAACCAGCTTCATGAGGTAGTCACCTGGAATGCATTTAACAGGTGTGCCTTCTTAAAAGTTAATTTGTGGAATTTCTTTCCTTCTTAATGCGTTTGAGCCAATCAGTTGTGTTGTGACAAAGTAGTGGGGATATACAAAAGATGGCCCTATTTGGTAAAATACCAAGTCCATATTATGGCAAGAACAGCTCAAATAAGCAAAGAGAAATGACAGTCCATCATTACTTTAAGACACGAAGGTCAATCAATACAGAACATTTCAAGAACTTTGAAAGTTTCTTCAAGTGTAGTCGCAAAAACCATCAAGCGCCATGGTGAAACTGGCTCTCATGAGGACCGGCACAGGAATGGAAGACCCAGAGTTACCTCTGCTGCAGAGGATAAGTTCAATAGAGTTACCAGCCTCATAAATTTCAGCCCAAATAAATGCTTCACAGAGTTCAAGTAACAGACAAATCTCAACATCAGCTGTACAGAGGGGAGTGTGTGAATCAGGCCTTCATGGTCGAATTGCTGCAAAGAAACCACTACTAAAGGACACCAATAAGAGGAAGAGACTTGCTTGGGCCAAGAAACACGAGCAGTGGACATTAGGCTGGTGGAAATGTGTTCTTTGGTCTGCAGTCCAAATTGGAGATTTTGGTTCCAACTGCCGTGTCTTTGTGAGACGCGGTGTGGGTGAACGGATGATCTTCGCATGTGTAGTTCCCACCATAAAGCATGGAGGAGGAGGTGTTATGGTGTGGGGGGAGCTTTGCTGGTGACACTGTCTGTGATTTATTTATATTTCAAGGCACACTTAACCAGCATGGCTACCACAGCATTCTGCAGCGATACGCCATCCCATCTGGTTTGAGTTTAGTGGGATTATCATTAGTTTTTCAACAGGACAATGACCCAACACACCTCCAGGCTGTATAAGGGCTATTTTACCAAGAAGGAGAGTGATGGAGTGCTGCATCAGAATACCTGGCCTCCACAATCCCCCCAATTGAGATGGTTTGGGATGAGTCGGACGTCAGAGAGAAGGAAAAGCAGTCAACATGTGCTCAGCATATGTCGGAACTCCTTCAAGACTGTCGGAAAAGCATTCCAGGTGAAGCTGGTTGAGAGAATGCCAAGAGTGTGCAAAGCAGTCATCAACGCAAAGGGTGGCTATTTGAAGAATCTCTAATATAAAATATATCTTGATTTGTTTAACACTTTTTTGGTTACTACATGATTCCATATGTGTTATTTAATAGTTTTGATGTCTTTACTATTATTCTACAATGTAGAAAATAGTAAAAATAAAGAAAAACCCTTGAATGAGTAGGTGTGTCCAAAACTTTTGACTGGTACTGTGTATAATGCACTACTTTTGATAGGCCCTGTTCAAAGGTTGTGCACTCTAAAGGGAATAGGATACCATTTGAGACAAAGCCTCAGTCTCTCAGTACTTCCTTCCTTGAGAAAAGAGTCATACAGTCACGTACAGATATAGAGGGAGGGCGAATTCTTCAAAGTTCATCCATTACTGTACAGTACAGTAGTAGTGGATTGAAAGGCTGTGTAGGAAGAAACAGGCTGACAAAGAAAAGCTGTAGGAGAAGCTTCACCCAGGTTAATGTAGGTTCTGAGGCACAGCCTGCTTTTATGACAGTTAAATGAAGATAGAAGACTGAGAAGAGAAGCAGAGAGAAGAGAGAGCGAGAGAAAGAAGGAGAGTGAGAGAAGAGAGAGACACAGAGAGCTGTCAGATTGGTGCTATTAGAAGTGGGTGGTCTGAAATAATTTGTAGACAAACTGCCAAGACACGTCCAGCGAAGAGTGATGAGAGTCTGCTTTTGACTAGTTTTATAAAAGACTAATTGCACATCCAAACTGTGGGTTAATGCTGAGATAAACAGTGATGCCCATGTTCATTATCACGCCATCCAAAGCTTCAGATGAATGGAAAATGGTTGTTATTATTAGTAGAAGGCTTTGACAAGCTGTTGAATATGGAGACGCTAAAACAAAATGTGTCCTCCCAGGCTTCTGTGAAAGAAGACATGCCTGATCAAGTGATATAACCCTGCGATGCCATTGGTCCATCTGTGGTTCAGTGGCCACATACAGTGCCTTCAGGAAGTATTCATACCCCTTGACTTATTCCAGCCTAAATTCAAAATTGATTAAATTGTTTTTTTTTCTTCTCATCCATCTACACACAATCCCCCACAGTCACAATGTGAAAACATGTTTTATAAATTGTAGCAAATTTATTGAAAATGAAATACAGAAATATCTCATTTACATAAGTATTCACACCCCATGAGTCAGTACTTTTTAGAAACACCTTTGACAGTGATTATAGCTGTGAGTCTTTCTGGGTAAGTCTCTAAGAGCTTTCCATACCTGGATTGTGCAACATTTGCCCATTATTATTTTTCAAGCTCTGTCAAATTGGTTGTTGATCATTGCTAGACAACCATTTTCAGATTTTCAAGTAGATTTAAGTCAAAACTGTAACTCAGCCACTCAGGAACGTTCACTGGCTTCTTGGTAAACAACTCCAGTGTAGATTTGGCATTGTGTTTTAGGTTATTGTTCTTATTGTCTTTCAAAAATCATGTTAACCCATTACAGTCTAAGCCCTGTCTACGCTGGGGGAGGGTTTCTACTAAGCTATATGGAATTGTTTTAAGGAAGTCATGCAAATTATCCTTTTGTTATTTGATGTTGAATATTACGACCCCTTGAAGTATAAGAAAATATACAGTGGGGAAAAAAAGTATTTAGTCAGCCACCAATTGTGCAAGTTCTCCCACTTAAAATGATGAGAGAGGCCTGTAATTTTCATCATAGGTACACGTCAACTATGACAGACAAATTGAGAAAAAAAATCCAGAAAATCACATTGTAGGATTTTTAATGAATTTATTTGCAAATTATGGTGGAAAATAAGTATTTGGTCACCTACAAACAAGCAAGATTTCTGGCTCTCACAGACCTGTAACTTCTTCTTTAAGAGGCTCCTCTGTCCTCCACTCGTTACCTGTATTAATGGCACCTGTTTGAACTTCAAATCAAATCAAATCAAATTTTATTGGTCACATGCGCCGAATACAACAGGTGCAGACATTACAGTGAAATGCTTACTTACAGCCCTTAACCAACAGTGCATTTATTTTAAACAAAAAAGTAAGAATAAAACAACAACAAAAAAGTGTTGAGAAAAAAAGAGCAGAAGTAAAATAAAGTGACAGTAGGGAGGCTATATATACAGTAAAATAAAGTGAAAGTAGGGAGGCTATATATACAGGGGGGTACCGTTGCATAGTCAATGTGCGGGGGCACCGGCTAGTTGAGGTAGTTGAGGTAATATGTACATGTGGGTAGAGTTAAAGTGACTATGCATAAATACTTAACAGAGTAGCAGCAGCGTAAAAAGGATGGGGTGGGGGGGCAGTGCAAATAGTCCGGGTAGCCATGATTAGCTGTTCAGGAGTCTTATGGCTTGGGGGTAGAAGCTGTTGAGAAGTCTTTTGGACCTAGACTTGGCACTCCGGTACCGCTTGCCGTGCGGTAGCAGAGAGAACAGTCTATGACTAGGGTGGCTGGAGTCTTTGACAATTTTGAGGGCCTTCCTCTGACACCGCCTGGTATAGAGGTCCTGGATGGCAGGGAGCTTTGCCCCAGTGATGTACTGGGCCGTACGCACTACCCTCTGTAGTGCCTTGCGGTCAGAGGCCAAGCAGTTGCCATACCAGGCGGTGATGCAACCAGTCAGGATGCTCTCGATGGTGCAGCTGTAGAATTTTTGAGGATCTGAGGACCCATGCCAAATCTTTTTAGTCTCCTGAGGGGGAATAGGCTTTGTCGTGCCCTCTTCACGACTGTCTTGGTGTGTTTGGACCATGATAGTTCGTTGGTGATGTGGACACCAAGGAACTTGAAGCTCTCAACCTGTTCCACTACAGCCCCGTCGATGAGAATGGGGGCGTGCTCAGTCCTCTTTTTTTTCCTGTAGTCCACAATCATCTCCTTTGTCTTGGTCACGTTGAGGGAGAGGTTGTTGTCCTGGCACCACACGGCCAGATCTCTGACCTCCTCCCTATAGGCTGTCTCATCGTTGTCGGTGATCAGGCCTACCACTGTTGTGTCGTCGGCAAACTTAATGATGGTGTTGGAGTCGTGCCTGGCCATGCAGTCATGGGTGAACAGAGAGTACAGGAGGGGACTGAGCACGCACCCCTGAGGGGCCCCCGTGTTGAGGATCAGTGTGGCAGATGTGTTGTTACCTACCCTTGTTATCAGTATAAAAGACACCTGTCCACAACCTCAAACAGTCACACTCCAAACTCCACTATGGCCAAGACCAAAGAGCTGTCAAAGGACACCAGAAACAAAATTGTAGACCTGCACCAGGCTGGGAAGACTGAATCTGCAATAGGTAAGCAGCTTGGTTTGAAGAAATCAACTGTGGGAGCAATTATTAGGAAATGGAAGACATACAAGACCACTGATAATCTCCCTCGATCTGGGGCTCCATGCAAGATCTCACCCCGTGGGGTCAAAATGATCACAAGAACAGTGAGCAAAAATCCCAGAACCACACGGGGGGACCTAGTGAATGACCTGCAGAGAGCTGGGACCAAAGTAACAAAGCCTACCATCAGTAACACACTACGCCGCCAGGGACTCAAATCCTGCAGTGCCAGACGTGTCCCCCTGCTTAAGCCAGTACATGTCCAGGCCCGTCTGAAGTTTGTTAGAGTGCATTTGGATGATCCAGAAGAGGATTGGGAGAATGTCATATGGTCAGATGAAACCAAAATAGAACTTTTTGGTAAAACTCAACTCGTCGTGTTTGGAGGACAAAGAATGCTGAGTTGCATCCAAAGGACACCATACCTACTGTGAAGCATGGGGGTGGAAACATCATGCTTTGGGGCTGTTTTTCTGCAAAGGGACCAGAACGACTGATCCGTGTAAAGGAAAGAATGAATGGGACCATGTATCGTGAGATTTTGAGTGAAAACCTCCTTCCATCAGCAAGGGCATTGAAGATGAAACGTGGCTGGGTCTTTCAGCATGACAATGATCCCAAACACACCGCCCGGGCAACGAAGGAGTGGCTTCGTAAGAAGCATTTCAAGGTCCTGGAGTGGCCTAGCCAGTCTCCAGATCTCAACCCCATAGAAAATCTTTGGAGGGAGTTGAAAGTCCGTGTTGCCCAGCGACAGCCCCAAAACATCACTGCTCTAGAGGAGATCTGCATGGAGGAATGGGCCAAAATACCAGCAACAGTGTGTGAAAACCTTGTGAAGACTTACAGAAAACGTTTGACCTGTGTCATTGCTAACAAAGGGTATATAACAAAGTATTGAGAAACTTTTGTTATTGACCAAATACTTATTTTCCACCATAATTTGCAAATAAATTCATTAAAAATCCTACAATGTGATTTTCTGGATTTTTTTTTCTCATTTTGTCTGTCATAGTTGACGTGTACCTATGATGAAAATTACAGGCCTCTCTCATCTTTTTAATTGGGAGAACTTGCACAATTGGTGGCTGACTAAATACTTTTTTCCCCCACTGTATATAAAAATATTATTTTATGAACATTTTATTTGGCCTTACTGCTATTATCCCATGAAAACCTATTTAACAGATTCACTACACGGAACAACAGATAGTTCCCACAAAAAATGAAAGAGAAGTTTGTTCTGAAGTGTCTGTTCTATATCAGAGAGATATAAGAAAGATCAGGAAATATTATTATTATTATTAGTATATATTTTTTTACATGTATTTAACCCCTTGGTCAGGGAGGTGACCAAGAACCCGATGGTCACTCTGACAGAGCTCCAGAGTTCCTCCGTGGAGATGGGAGAACCTTCCAGAAAGACAACCATCTCTGCAGCACTCCACCAATCAGACCTTTATGGTAGAGTGGCCAGACGGAAGCCACTCCTCAGTAAAAGACACATGACAGCCCATTTGGAGTTTGCCAAAAAGGCACCTAAAGGACCTCTCAGACCATGAGAAACAAGATTCTCTGGTTTGATGGAACCAATGTTGAACTCGTTGGCCTGAATGCCAAGCGTCACGTCTGGTGGAAACCTGGCACCATCCCCCTACGGTGAATCATGGTGGTGGCAGCATCATGCTGTGGGGATGTTTTTCCAGGGAGAGATGAACGGAGCAAAGTACAGAGTGATCCTTGATGAAAACCTGCTCCAGAGCACTTAGGACCTTAGGCTGGGGTGAAGGTTCACCTTCCAACAGGACAATGACCCTAAGCACACAGCCAAGACAATGCAGAATTGCCAAGAAGACTCGAGGCTGTAATTGCTGCGAAAGGTGCTTCAACAAAGTACTGAGTAAAAGGTCTGAATACTTATGTAAATGTGATATTTCAGTTTTTTTTTTATACATTTGCAAACATTTCTAAAAACCTGTTTTTGCTTTGTCATTATGCGGTATTGTGTGTAGATTGATGAGGGAAAAAAACAATTTAATCCATTTTAGAATAAGGCTGTAACGTAACAAAATGTGGAGAAATTCAAGAGGTCTGAATACTTTCCGAATGCACTGTACTTCCATTAATTTTTTAAACTGGTACTGGGGGACCTTCAGGCTAATCTTGTGAGGCCTGTGGGCATCCTAAAGAACCAAAATGTACGCGTTCGTGAGAGTTTCACCTTTACACAGAGGGGTCATATTAGTGTGTAGTCCAAACTGTTTGGACGCTACAGAAAGAAGTTGGAAGATCGACTGTATCGACTTCAGACAAGTTCCAAGACGCTTGTGTGGTCGTAGAGCAAAACGGAAAACACCATCGTGTTCGTGAGAGTCTGATATTTCCATAGAGGGGTCATTAGTTTGTAGGTCAAATCATTCGGACGCTATAGACGATTTTGTGAGAAGACCGATTTTCGGGATGTCTCATGGTCTGACAAACATCGCTCTAGCTCTGTCACCTTTCACCTCTAGCTCTGTCACCTTTCACCAGATGCGGAAGTGCGACATAGGCGGATGCGGTGGATTGAGAAGCATCCAATGCAAAAAAACAGATATCTCTAGCTTAAACTGACAGATTTTTCAGGGGAATTTTTTATTATGCTAGTTAATTTCCACAGGGACGTGGACATCGGCCTTAGGGTGTTAAACACTATTATTGCACACAGAGTGAGTCCCTGCAACTTATTATGTGACTTGTTAAGCAAAATTTTTGTCCTGAACTCATTTAGGCTTGCCATAACAAAGTGGTTGAATACTTATTGGCTCAAGACATTTCATCTTTTCATTTTTTATTAATTTGTACAAATTTTGAAAAACATAATTCCACTTTGACATTATTGGGTATTGTGTGTAGGCCAGTGATACAGAATCTCAATTTAATCCATTTGAAATTCAGGCTGTAACACAACAAAATGTGGAAAAAGAGTCAAGGGTTGTGAATACTTTCTGAAGGTAATGTATGTAAGAGGCTTTGGAGCTGATTGGAGGAGACGAGGCGGATTCAGCCAATCGTGAAGAGGAGTGGCTTGAAGCTAAGGTTTTGTTTCTTGATTGGCATTTGGGATTTGTGTCTTTCTCTGCTCAATCTGATGAGATCATTTTCAGCCCATTTCTCCACACTGGCATTGTCAGTATACACACACACACACACACACACACACACACACACACACACACACACACACACACACACACACACACACACACACACACAAACACACACACACACAGTCTTGTACAGCTAACCTTGTGGGGACACACAATTCAGTCCCATTCAAAATCCCTAACCCCTAATCCTAAACCTAATGCCTACTCTTCCCCTAACCCTAACCTTAACCCTAACCTTAACCCAAAAACCTAACCCTAACCCTAAACCTAACCCTAGCTCCTAACCCTAACACTAAAACTAACCCTAGCTCCTAACCCTAACCCTTGACGTAATTCTAACCCTAACACTAATTCTAACCTTAACCCTAAACCCCCTAAAAATAGCATTTGACCTCATGGGGACTAACAAAATGTCCCCAGTTGGTAAAATTTTTGTTTGTTTACTATTCTTGTAGGGACTTCTGGTCCTCACAAGAATAGTTAAACACATCCACCAACATTATCTCATGGTTTGAAGTGTTTTTTACACATTTACATTTTAGTCATTTAGCAGACACTCTTATCCAGAGCGACTTACAGTTAGTGAGTGCATACGTTTTCATACTGGCCCCCCTGAGGGTGGAGGACCAACGTGTGGCCCATCTACTGGAGGGACAGGTCCTGATGGGCCTCAGCACTGGCACAGCCAAACTACAGGTGCGAGAGAGAGGGAGAGGGAGCTACAGCATCGATCCATTTCTCCAAACGTCAAACTTTGAAGTATTTTAAATTTAAGGGTTAAGGTTTGGATAACGTTAAAACATAAAGTTTAGGCATTCATAACAAATGATTAAGTTAAGGGTAAAGGTTTGGGATAGGAAAAAAAAAAAAAGGTATTCCTCTGGGATTGAAAACGCGATCTTCGGATCCAGAGTCATGGGAGTCATGGGATTACGCCCATCCACCACCCCCGTCCACTAAGCCCTAGCAAAACCCAAGACAACTTGATGGTGCTCACTGTTGCCCCAGACGTCCAATTTCGAAGTAAATCTTGAGCGATCTGGCTGCACACACACGCACACGCACACACACACACACACACACTTGAATAGAGACTTCAAGGGCATGGTCAAAAAATGCCAAGTCTATCATCGAAATCATTACAGAGCAGAGGGAGAGATTTAAAATCTTTAGAAATGGCAGATTTTCTTTTGAAGGATATAAGAATAAAATAAATACATTCCTCTGGCTGTACAAACTTGCATGACTAATATTTGCATAGAAATAATTTGCTGTAACTCTTGGCCCTTAAAAGAAAAATACGTAATGTTGCATCCTATTCTTTCATAAAGCATTAGCCTACATGTTGAACTTAGTTGCTTTTGTCTTTCTCTTAATAACATGTTTTCCTATCCCCCCCCCCAGGTGTCGGATCGTTGTGACTATGTGTTTGTGAATGGGAAGGAGACGAGAGGGAGGATGAGGATGGTGCTCAACTTCACCTACAGCTACCTCAGTGCCCAGCTGGAGATGAGTGTGTGGATGCCACGCCTCCCCCTGCTCATCGACGTGGCCGACCCAGAGCTCAGCCAGATCAAAGGCTGGAGGGTTCCAATGGCGACCGGCAACAAGAGGTGTGTGGTTTTACCAGACAGTGAGATGTGTTACCTGGTTCATACTGCTTGGGAAACAGATGTTCACAATAATTGCAGTGCAGAGTAAAAAACTAACATTCAAGGATCATCTTCAAACATCATGTTAATTAAGGTGGTTGTACCATCACCTCCCATATATTTACCACTTATTTTTGAAGTTGCCTTGGAACCTAATGTACCAGTCTGCCCACATATAAGTCCATCCTCATCTGGACGTTTAGAATAACTGTGATGATGCTAATGTCTTAATCATGACGCCTACACCTGTCTGTCCGGTATTACGCTCCCTCTCTATTGCCACCGCTGTTCTCTGGATACCCAGGTGACGCCGGTGACTCAGGTGCTCTCTCTGAGGGGGTGTGAGCAGCTTAAGAATGTGACTTTCAATTATTGTTGTGACTCTCAGTCACTTCTCTCTGTGACTCACTTACTGTCAGCCAGACGCAAGACTAACACGTCTGACAATTCTGTTCTCATCTCCTCAACATTCTGTAAATGTCCTTACAAAGGCAGTCAACCTTGTTCCTGTTTGTCGTGAAGGCGAGATTGATTGGTGGCAACGGCATGTCTGAACAAGGAAGACAGAGAGAGAAGACTAGAGTTGGAGTCTGTCTTTCATTTTCTCTCGTTGTTATAGAAAGGACAGTTTTTCTAGGAAATATGATGTCCTAGCTTGATGCATATGTTTTTTAGCTTGAGGCATGTGTTCTATCGATTTTTCAGTAGCCAGGCCACCAGGGGGCGCTCTAACACATCTGCCCCTGTGCGCTTTAGTCCAGTGGGTAGGAGAGGTGAGAGAGCCAGTCGAGTCATATCGTGCTTCTGGAAGCGAGCTTATTACACTGCCAGACCTTATCTGACCTGACGGCCGTCCGTGAGAACACACCTCGCCTACTTTTCTTAATTTTTCTGCTGCCCGCCGCTAATGTCACCTGAGTTAGGCTGCCATGTTCGTCACGCCGGTGAATGGGGTGGTGGGGGAGGCATGGAGGGCCCGGGCCTCTAAGCCAGGCAGCTCCAGCATGTTAACCTGTCAGCCTGTTTTTCTGCCTGGACGGCCACACCTCATTAACCTAATGGAAGCTGTCAGTGTCACACTTCCCCTGGCCACCTGACCTGGCCCAGAGCACAGAGAGGAAGGGAGGGCGGGAGTAGAGAAAGAGAGAGAGAGTTGTTTTTAAAGAGAATGAATTCAGTGAAAGTGAGAAAGAGACTTGAATGAGAAAACACATAAGGTAGAAGTAGAGCGAGAGAATGGGAGGTAGAGAGTTTAGAGAGAATGGAGTTGAGTGGCGTCAGGGTAATGGCCATAGCCTCTTTGTTGACGGTCTGTCACAGTGCTCCGCCGTTTACAGGAGGTTAGATTCCCTGGGCCACGCTCTGTCTGTCACTGGGCTGAACAGGGCTGCCTCTCCCTGGTCTGTACTTTACCTCATCCTACTGCTGCTAATCACAGTAGATGAAGAACACTGGGTCCCAATAGATTTACATTTTGGTAATTTAGCAGACGCTCTTATCCAGAGCGACATACAACTAGTGCATTCATCTTAAGATAGCTAGGTGAGACAACAACATATCACAGTCGTACTAAGTACATTTTCCCTCAATAAAGTAGCTATCAGCAAAGCCAGTGCTAGTAGGAAAAGTAACAGGGTTTCAATACCTCGTTCAATTCAAACACTGGTAAAGAATGGAGGTGAAGATAAAGACAGAGAAGTAAGAGTAATGGAGGAATAGAATAGAGTAGAGAACTATTTGATATATAAAATACAGACGTTTCTCAAAATATCAAATAACAGTTTGACCTTGCATGTGAACATATTTTTAGTCAGAAATTAGGTTGCATTGAGATGATTAGATCTGTTGCTTCGGAGTTAACGAATACCCACGTCCAAATATGTCTGTGTTAACTGCAGTAAACTGTTGATTTGATTTACATTTTCCTACTTAAATGCTCCTTTTATTCTGCTTCTGTTTTTTTTCCTTATTTTTTTCCAGGTATGAGAGGGTGAGTGTGGATGATGGTGATGACAGGGACAGTGAGAAGACAGAGAGTGGCTGTGTCCCTCAGTACCAGAGCACCACGGTGCGCGTCCTCACACACTTTGTGGCCCTGGGAGTTGATGGACATGGCCAACAGGACTTCTTGCTGGGCAGTGATTGGCAGGTGGATGTCACTGACCTGGTCCAGGATTTACTGAGGGTGGAGGACCAACGTGTGGCCCATCTACTGGAGGGACAGGTCCTGATGGGCCTCAGCACTGGCACAGCCAAACTACAGGTGCGACAGAGAGGGAGAGGGAGATGGAGGGAATGAGAGAGAAGTGATTAAAGAGTGATACAGCAGTCTGAACATTTGAGTGTGAGTGAAATGGCGAGAGAGTGTGATTGAAAGGGGGAGAGACAGAGATGGTGGGGTGAAAGAGTGGTAATGAGAGCATTAGTGTGTGTGAGAGAGCTAGGGACAGAGAGAAACCTTATGATTAAGAGAGAGTGAGAGAAAGAGAGCGCCTGCTTGGACAAAATAATAGAGGATGGGTAGTGGAAGAAGAACGATTGTAAAAACACAAAGTAAACGGAGGCTCTTTGCGAGTGAGGCTTTTAAAAAAGGTTACAGAATCGATCTCGGCACAGCACAAACACTTAGCCAATCAGGGACTGACAAAGCAACGTGAGCCTGCGGCACGCCCAATAAAGGCTGCTAAGTCTCAGAGTGCGTGTTCTCACACACACCACCAGACACCCCCCATCCCATGTAGATGATTACTAACAGCAGGCTCCTCTAGAGGGAGAGGAGGGGTGCCCTCTTACGGTGTAAAATACAATCGATCAAGGTTTTTCCCCAACAACACAACAGCTCTTGCAAGGCCTGATCCATGGACATACATATCCTCTCCTCATTGGTGAGTTACAGTGTGTTGTTGGTGTACGTTGGTGTATTACCTTTACGTTACCCAGGTTGGTCAGTTGAGAACCATTTCTCATTTCCAGTGGAGACACTGGCCCACAGACAGAAACACAGAGCAAAGATATCATATTGGGAAATGGATGGAAATGATATAAATCGTTGCACTGTGTTGTCCCTATATTTGTGTGTTATTTTGGATGGTTTGAGAATGACTATGACTCAATAACAGTGGAGAGGAACTTTATGAAGTCAAAGTTGTTTACCCTGTGATCATTCACTCTGCTACAAAGCCATCATGTCCCTGCCCTGTCCTGCTATTATAGGTGGCTTATTACATACACACACTCACACACAGAGAAACACACATGTATGCATATGCATGCACACACACCACACACACACGCACGCACACACACACACACACACGCACACACACACACGCACACACACATAAACACTCAAAGTAAAAAAAATACAATGTTTTAATCCTCCCCTCCTTCATATGCTGATCACTCACATGCATAGAAACACACAAAACAGAACACACTATGCTTTTCCATCTCTCTTCATTCATTTTTTCCTCTCCCCCCTGAAGCGCACACACACTGCACTCAGAGAAACCCACATGCAGCAGCCTCAGTATTAACAATGCTGTTAGAGAGGCTGTGAAGTTTTATTTGATAGCAAAATTGCCTCTTGCTTCACTGGAGTGATTTTAGATCCATCTACAAGCAAGAGGGTCTTCAATTGTCTGGAATTACATTTCGATAAAAAGCAGAGCAATCACTGCAATTGGCATGGAGGGTCTTGGAATCAAACTATCAAAGTGAATGCTGATGAAAGGGGAGTAGATGGCCCTGGGTCTCCACGGTAACCAAAGATCCAACCCATTTCATGTGTCAGATACATCTCTGCCTGCCCTGCTGTTTGAGCTGCCGCTAAATTGATAAATCACTCTACCTCAGACAAACCGGTTATTAGCTTTAAGAGGCACAATCACTGCTTTTCCCAAAGACCTAACACTTCCATTAGTAACTACTGCAGGGGAAAGCTTACTGAAAGCTTCAAATGCAGCATTGATTGGTTCATTGTTTTGCTATTCATGTCTTTACAATGTCACCAACAGATGCAATTAAAGGCCCAGTGCAGTCAAAAATGTGATTTTCCTGTGTTTTATATATATTTCCACACTATGAGGTTGGAATAATACTGTGAAATTGTGAAAATTATGATCATGCCCTTTTAGTGTAAGAGCTGTTTGAAAAGACCGCCTGAAATGTCAGCCTGTTTTGGTGGGATGGAGTTTTGGCCTGCCTGGTGACATCCCCAGGCAGTAAATTAGTTATTAAACCAATAAGAAAGAGAGTTCCAAACTTCTCTGCCAATAATGGGTAGTTTTCAGTTTTCCCAACACAGTAAGTTACTTAATTGTTACCCAGATATTATTTCATATTGAGATAATCTTGAGGATATTGAGGAAGTTAGAGGTAGTTTCGCAAGCCAATGCTAACTAGCGTTAGCGCAATGACTGGAAGTCATAGCATGCTAGCAGATACCCATATACTTCTAGTCATTGCGCTAATGCTAGTTAGAATTGGCTTGTGAAACCACCTCTAACTTCCTTCATACTGGACACAGAGACATAAAAATGGTATCCACGAGTTCATCTGACTCTGGGGAAATAGAGTAATTGCCAAAATCCCAATTTAGATAATGTCCGCCTCTTTACTTGGTTAGTTACTTTTATTTAATGCTTATTTTATTTCACTTTCTTCTAGAGTAGATTAAAAGACATTGGATGAGAATGTGGTGGTAGGTGTTCTGCTGGATTTTAGGATAAAGCTTTTGGCTTAATCTGACCAGTGACACAATGTACCCACTTAGATAATAAAATAGTCCTAAAGAGACCTAAAAGCACCAAGGTAACAACAAGGTATTTCTACCTATATAATCATGACAGCATATGTATACTTTTGACCCAGCCCTAGAGGTGCCACAGTACACAGATCTGCACGGCTGGCCCTGTGTGTTCCCAGTGTGTTTACCAGTGTGGTGAGCATGCAGCTGTGCAGCTCTAACAGTACGGTGCTGTAGAGGGGAAGTGTGTTGGCCAGCCTGTGGTCCTGTACAGCAGGGGTTCCCAAACTTTTTCACTCTGAGCCCCCTTCCAGCATTGGGGAACATTCCAGTCTGTGTGGAGGCTGGTGGTGGAGAAGAGGATAAGGGTGGAGAGGAGACTCAGGCATAATGGGAGCAGATGGGAGTGCTTCCCTTCTCATCACACATCACACACATTTACATGCTTACATCTCCAGCAACCCATCTCCAGCTCTTCCCTGTCCATCATTAATCATAATGGCTTCAGTGTGAATGCTTGTGTAGGTGATGTGAATATATACAAGGGGGGGGGGGGGGGGGGGGGTCTGTATGTGTCTGTGTGTACACTAATGTGTGTGTATGATGTTGCAGGTGATGTCTCCTCTGTCTGACTCGATCCTGGCTGAGCGGATGGTCAGGGTTCTGGATGACAAAGTGAGCGTGACAGAGCTGGGAGTGCAGCTGGTCTCTGGCCTCTCTCTGTCCCTCCAGCTCAGCCCAGGGAGCAACAGGGCCATCGTCGCCACAACAACCACACAGGAAGTCATGCAGAAACTCAAACAGGTTACCACACACACATGCCTCAGCATTGGCTGCCATTTGATCCTTTATAGTGAATATGATGTGTTTCTAATGTCAAATTATTGATCTAATCTCAATGAAGAGGTCTGCTTCTGAAACTATGACATATTTTCAGAGGAACAGCTGCAGAGTACTCCTTCTCATCTGAAGTTCTCCTCTGCTTTTAAAACGGGCTAATTAAACATATCTTTACATCTGCAGGGGTTCTCTCTCTCTCTTTACTTCTACACTCACTCTTTCTTTCTTTTTCTCTCTTGATGAAGATGAAAAGATTAGACTCCTGCTGATACCGGTTTCCTCTGTGTAGTAACATAGTAACAGTTTATATTATGACAGGGAAGCATGCATTCCTTTTATACCTGCAGTAGTTATGTGTCCCATGGGGAGTTGGTGTTATAGAGTGGACATGTGGGTGGTGATTGGTTTTGTTGAAGCACTGCTCAGACAGGGTGTTTTGGAGTTTACCCTTATGATAGAAGAACACTGATGTCTTTGTGTGTGCATGTGTGTGTTTGTGTGTGTGTGTGTCCTCAGGAGTCCCTCATCAGTGCCTGGCTTCAGTTCAGCGATGGCTCCATGACCCCTCTGGACCACTACGACCCCGCCCACTTTGTGCTCACAGCCACCTCATTGGACGAGCAGGTGGTGTCGGTAAGGCGAAGCGCGGAGTGGAAGTGGCCGGTCATCGTGGCAAACGGCGAAGGTCAGGGGTTACTGGTGCGTTTGGAGATGACATCATCAGAGATCTGCCAGAAGACGAAGCGACGCACCATTCTGGCAGCCGGGGTGGGAAATGTCTGCGTTAGGTTTAGCCGCTCTGAGGAGCCGTACAGCCACCCTGGAGGCAAAACACGACCAGACCCGCCCCACTACGGAGGCTCCATCTCTGACATTGAGGCTGGGATCATGAACCGGGGGGCCACCACAATCAAGGCGCCTGTCCCGGTGAGGCCCAATGGAGACAGGCTGTCGGCTGACGGAGGAGTCCCTGGGGGGTTCTCTGAGTTCCCTGCCCAGGAGGAGCTGCCGCGAGGCCGCAGCACGGACGAGGATCTGTTGTCGTCACGCCGCAGTCTCACTGACTTGGAGATCGGTATGTACGCCCTGCTGGGGGTCTTCTGCCTGGCCATCCTGGTCTTCCTCATCAATTGCATCTCCTACGCCCTCAAGTACCGCCACAAAGAGCTGCCCCTGGAGGCCCCCGAGGCAATGCCCCATGCCCACGACTGGGTGTGGCTTGGCCAAGAGGAGGGCCTGTGTCTGCAGCAGCAGCAGGACGAGCTGGGCAGCACCCTGGAAGAGGGCAGCCAGTTGCTGAACGGAGGTGTTCTGAAGGGCAGTGCCCAGGGAGGCTGCCCAGGAGGCAGGAACGAGTCAATCAACTCACCCACCACCAAGAGGAAGAGGGTCAAATTTACCACCTTCGCCAACATCAAGCCCAGTAACGGATGCCCAGTTCTGAGCCCGCTGGCACTCGGACAGACCACCGACATTAAGTGGGTGTGTCCGGACATCGAGCTGGGGGACTCGCAAGAGCTCCGGAATTACATGGAGAGGTTGAACGAGAATGCTACAAAGAACATTGTATAGAGGGGATTGTATTTTTTGTGGACAAATGAGTAACTCTAACTCACCCGAATGCCTTCAGAGTAAGAAGGGAGTGAGGGGGTGTTTTTTACTGAAACTGGTTGGCACTGTACCTCGCCATGACAACAAGATGGAACATTCCAGCAAGTGTTGTTTCCATGGTAACTGTCGTAATGGTTGAGGATCATAAATGAGGGGGAAAAATGTGCCATGACACCACATTGGATATGTGGGAACTTGTGAACTTCAATGTCACTTGAATTAGTTTAGATGTCTGTTCCCTTGTCTTTAATTAAAGAAAAGCTTACAGTGCATTCGGGAAGTATTCTGACCCCTTCACTTTTTCCACATTTTGTTACGTTACAGCCTTATTTTAAAATGGATAAAATTATTTCAATCTACACACAATACCCCATAATGACAAAGCAAAAATAGATTTTTAGACATTTTTGCAAATGTATTACAAATAAAAAACAGAAATAACCTATTTACATACAGTACCAGTCAAAAGTTTGGACACACCTACTCATTCAACGGTTTTTCTTTATTTTTACTATTTTCTATATTGTAGAATAATAGTGAAGACATCAAAACTGAAATTACACATATGGAATCATGTAGTAACCAAAAAAGTGTTAAACAAATGAAAATGTATTTTAGATTTTAGATTCTTCAAAGTAAGCCACCTCGATGACAGCTTTGCACACTCTTGGCATTCTCTCAACCAGCTTCACCTGGAATGCTTTTCCAACAGTCTTAAGGGACTTCCCACATATGCTAGGCACTTGTTGGCTGCTTTCCTTCACTCTGCGGTCCAAGTCATCCCAAACCGTCTAAATTGGGGAGGCCAGGTAATCTGATGCAGCACTCCATCACTCTCCTTCTTGGTCAAATAGCCCTTAAGCAGCCTGGAGGTGTGTTATGGGTCATTGTCCTGTTGAAAAACAAATGATAGTCCCACTAAGCGCAAACCAGATGGGATGGCATATCGCTGCAGAATGCTGTGGTAGCCATGCTGGTTAAGTGTGCCTTGAATTATAAATAAATCACAGACAGTGTAACCACCAAAGCACCCCCACACCACCATACCTCCTCCTCTATGCTTCACGGTGGGAACCACACATGTGGAGATCATCCGTTTACCTACACTGCGTCTCACAAAGACACAGCGGTTGGAACCAAAAATCTCAAATTTGGACTCATCAGACCAAAGGACAGATTTCCACAAGTCTAATGTCCATTGCTCATGTTTCTTGGCCCAAGCAAGTATCTTCTTCTTATTGGTGTCCTTTAGTAGTGGTTTCTTTGCAGCAATTCGACCATGAAGGCCTGATTCCTCTGAACAGTTGATGTTGAGATGTGTCTTTATTCGAACTCTGTGAAGCATTTATTTGGGCTGCAATTTCTGAGGCTGGTAACTCTAATGAACTTATCCTCTGCAGCAGAGCTAGTTTCATCATAGCGCTTGATGGTTTTTGCGACTGCACGTGAAGAAACTTTAAAAGTTCTTGAGATTTTCCAGATTGACTGACCTTCATGTCTTAAAGTAATGATGGACTGTCGTTTCTCTTTGCTTATTTGAGCTGTTGTTGCCATAATATGGACTTGGTCTTTTACCAAATAGGGCTATCTTCTGTATATCACCCCTACCTTGTCACAACACAACTGATTGGCTCAAACGCATTAAGAAGGAAAGAAATTCCACTATTTGACTTTTAAGAAGGCACACCTGTTAATAAAATGCATTCCAGCTGACTACCTCATGAAGCTGGTTGAGAGAATGCCAAGAGTGTGCAAAGCTGTCATCAAGGGAAAGGGTGGCTACTTTGAAGAATCTCAAATATAAAATATATTTTGATATGTTTAATACTTTGTTGGTTACTACATGATTCCATATGTTATATTTCATAGTTTTGATGTCTTCACTATTATTCTGCAATGTAGAAAATTGTAAAAATTAAGAAAAACCCTTGAATGAGTAGGTGTGTCCAAACCTTTGACTGGTACTGTAAGTATTCAGACCCTTTGTTATGAAACTCGAAATTGAGCTCAGGTGCATCCTGTTTCCATTGATCATTCTTGAGATGTTTTTACAACTTGATTGGAGTCCACCTGTGGTAGAGCTCCGAGACAGGATTGTGTCGAGGCACAGATCCGAGTAAGGGTACCAAAACGTTTCTGCAGCATTGAAAGTCCCCAAGAACACAGTGGCCTTCATCATTCTTAAATGGAAGAAGTTTGGAACCACCAAGACTCTTCCTTGAGCTGGCTACCCGGCAAAACTGATGAATTGTGGGAGATGGGCCTTGTTCAGGCAGGTGACCGAGAACCCGATGGTCACTCTGACAGATCTCCAGAGTTCCTCTGTGGAGATGGGAGAACCTTCCAGAAAGACAACCATCTCTGCAGCACTCCACCAATCAGGCCTTTATGTTAGAGTGGCCAGACAGAAGCCACTCCTCAGTAAAAGGCACATGACAGCCCACTTGGAGTTTGCCAAAAGGCACCTAAAGACTCTCAGACCATGAGAAACAAGATTCTCTGCTCTGTTGAAACCCAGATTGAACTCTATGGCCTGAATGCCCAGCGTCACGTCTGGAGGAAACCTGGCACCATCCCTACGGTGAAGCATGGTGGTGGTAGCGTCATGCTGTGGAGATGTTTTTTCAGCAGCAGGGACTGGGAGACTAGTCAGTATCGAGGGAAAGATGAACGGAGCAAAGTACAGAGAGATCTTTGATGAAAACCTGCTCCATAGCACTCAGGACCTCAGACTGGGGCTAAGGTTCACCTTCCAACAGGACAACGACCCTAAGCACACAGCCAAGACAATGCATGAGTGGCTTCGGGACAAGTCTCTGAATGTCCTTGATTGGCCCAGCCAGAGCCTGGACTTGAACCCAATCGAACATCTCTGGAGAGACCTGTAAATAGCTGTGCAGCGACGCTCCCCATCCAACCTGACAGAACTTGAGAGGATCTGCAGAGAAGAATGGTAGAAACTCCCCAAATACAGGTGTGCCAAGCTTAGAGTCATACCCAAGAAGACTCGGGGGTGTAATCGCTGCCAAAGGTGCTTCAACAAAGTACTGAGTTAAGGGTCAGAATACTTATGTAAATGTGATATTTCCATTTTTTGGGGGTATTGTGTGTAGATTGATGAGGAAAAAAACAATTTAATCATTTTTGAATAAGGCTGTAACGTAACAAAATTTGGAAAAATAAAGGGGTCTGAATACTTTCCGAACTCACTGTATTTCGTTTTGTTATCACTCGCAGCTCTCTTTGTTAACTTTTTAAATCATTATTTCCTTATCCTATTGTATATGATGTGGTTGCTTTATTTCTAGTCATGTCCTGCAAATACTTAGAATCTTTAAGATAGTAATACAAAATGTAAATTCATTTTGAGTCCACATGACGCTCTCTGCTTTTCTAGTGTTAAGCAATTATAGATTCTATGAGAATAGTGTTCAAAGCTATCAAAGCTGTAAATAAGTCGAGAAGAAAGACTGGTTTGGAGTACGTGAGACAACATTTTGTAAAGTGTTCTGTATTTTTGTACATATTTCTTTAGTCTGTCCTTCTTTTTGCTTTAAAAATGTTTCTCCGGAGACCAACATGCATGTTACTGAAAACAAAGACTAAGCCTGTCTTAGTTCCTGTTGATCCGTCAGAATTAAATGTGTACATACTGCGCAGTCCTCCCTATGAGACACATGCATCTCTCACACACCTCCCTGTCAAAGACATGACATTCATTTTATAGCTGAGCTCCAGGTATTATGTTTTATTTTTCTTTATTTTTTTTTCTGCTTAACTTTTTTATTTTTATTTTATTTCATAATCTCTTTATTATTAGAAATCAACACCAATGTCTTCTCCTTACTGTTTGTCACATTATTTTTGTTATTTTGTTGTCACAGTAGTTTATATGATTCCCTTAACTGATTTGAATTTCTAGTTTAAACCTTTAGCCTACATGCAGGTTTTTATACTCCTAATGTTATTAGTTTAATTCAGAACATACATTACTTATGTAATTGTTGGTGAGCGTAACTTCTGATATCTTGTTAAATCCCCATTTTGGATCTATTTATTTCACTTTCAGAAGGAACATAATAACTGCAGATTATTACACTAACACTGAGCCATAAAACCTAAACACACAATATAGTTCAGGTCTATTATCAGTACCAATGGTTGGGGCAGATCAGTATAGTATCCCAGTGGAGAAAATTGGTTGAAATGACATCATTACAACCACAAACTGGTTGAAATAACATTGTTATGACATAATTTCAACAATTTGAATAGTAGTATAGGGATAGTAGTATACGGATACACTAAACTTCCCTCCAATGACATGAGCTGCTGAGTTCCAGATGGAATAGTTATCGGTTCCATGGCATAACTCATGACTTGCCCCCCCACCCCCCCATCCCCCCCATCCCCATACCCTCCCCATCCCCCTCCCTATCCCCATTCCCCTCCCTATCCCCATTCCCCTCCCTATCCCCATTCCCCTCCCTATCGCCATCCCCCTCCCTATCCCCATTCCCCTCCCTATCCCCATCCCCCTCCCTATCCCCATTCCCCTCCCTATCCCCATTTCCCTCCATATCCCCATCCCCTCCTTCCCCATCAGTCAGATCCATAGAAGTCCATCCCTTACTGTTTTCAGAATGGCCTCTGGATTGATTAAAACCTAAAGGTGATACCTCTCTCTCCTGTTTCTGTTTGATTCATTTGTCTAGACGTTTAATTCATCCCTCTAGCTATCTGTGCAGATTGAGGTACCCATCCGACCGACCATTCGAGTTTGTGCAAACAGACGACTACTCTATCAAATACCAAGATGGGCCTCCTGTCAGCTTTGATGGTGTTAGTGCATCTGCCAGACAGTAAGCTGGGAAAATAAGTAATGCTGATGCCTGCCTTCCCAAAGTACTACTTTCAAACCTGGCTGAACCATTAGTTGTTTTACAACACCAGAATTA